GACACGCAAATCTAGCAATAGGTTTTGTCTGATTTTTTAAGACAATTTTTATTTATTTATTGAAACTGAGTTTGGAAGAATTTATTAGGATCTTACTATAATATATAATTAGCAATTACAATGGTATTCTAGTTTATTTCAAAATTTTCCAAGTAAAACCCTTTTATTAAAAATACAATATTAACGTTACTTGAATAATTACTATAATACTATGAAAAGTATTCGCATATTATCAACTTATTTTTTGTGTGGCATATCAAAAACATTAAACTGCATTAACTAGCATACATATGATTTAACTTTTTTATAATTGATGTCTTGGCTGCATTATCCTTTAAGTGATATAACAACATTTTAATTAGTGTCATCAATAAATTAGCAAGTGCCAATTTACATAGTCGTTTATTAATATCAATATGTATATTATTTATCAATAGCTTTCAGATAATACACATTAGTACCATGCAAAATAATAGTGCAATTCAAATATAATTCATTAATTTTTCTTCAATTTGTACATTAACAATTTTTACTTATTTTTTTCTAATTTTTTATTTCAGCCCTAAATTTTGTAATTTCGTTTGACACTTCGTGATACCAGCCCAACAGGTTTGACCTACCTACAATTAACAGTTTTATATGAATGTTTGAAGATTGTGTTTGTTTTCAGTCCGAAGGTACCCTAGTACTTTACACTTTCTACTGCAATTATTACTTCTTTTTCATTCATAACCTTGCTCATTCCATTATTTAATATTTTTTGTGGTTCCTTACCATTTTGATGAATTTGTCTGGAATATTGAATATTTTTTTCCTTTCTTGAAATATTATATATATATATTAAAGGTTTACTTTTCTGGCAGTTTTTTACATATTTTTGACTAGATCTCAACTTATTATTTTTAATAAATACCTAATACATGTTATTAACTTACTGAACGCATGACTACACTCAACAATGCAACAACGTTGCATTTTGAAAGTATTTAGTACCAATTTGTATGAGAAGTGCTACGTAACATACCCCTACGTAACGTTAGTCTATTTTACGGCAGAATTAGGCCTTTTAATCTATTTTATAGCTTCGTCGTAATACAGCTTTATTTGTAAATTTTGATTATTGAATATTTTTATCTCCAATAACAAATTAATCCAAATTATACTGAAATAAAATTTATCAAAAATATAAATTTAAAAGGCGTATACGCATCTGTTCGCAAATATGTACATTCTACTATATTTTAAGTGAAAAGGTGCTTGGAATAAATTTTAGTAAATTTCTCATATTGACGTTTTCAAGATAGAGGATGTGGTCAAAAAGTCAAATGTCTCTAAAAGTATACTAAATTATAAAAGAGCCGTGAAATAAATTTGTTCTTCTGTTATCTAACCTATTTTTGTGGCACTATAGAAGATTCATAGATAATAGATAATTTATCGATAACTTTATTTCAAAATGTAATATATTTAATTTATTAAATTCTATTCTCCATGAAACATTTTTCTTATTCTAGGAATGAAAGCATATGATTAGAAGCACTTGAAGTTTTCACGTAAAAGTGGAATGATCAAGATTATTTTTATATTCTCTTATTTTATGATTTCATTCATGAATGAATGAATTTTAATTGAGTAATTACAACAACTTTTAAACGAGTCTTGTCGACTTTCTTCTAATGCTTCTACTTGTAACATAGTATTTATAAAAGAAATAACTGATTATTTTAGTTAATTATTTAAATTAAAAATTTATTCACTCTGGTTTTATTTATCGGACCTAGACGTTCTTTAATCTAATTTACATAATTATAATATTTATGCATACAGAGCGATTAATTTATTTAACTGCTATAAACCTATATTTAAATTTGGTATTCTAGCTAACGAATACTTGTTGTCCAAGACATTGACTAATTTGTTTTAAATGTTGAATAATTAATATTTTTTATTATAATTATTAATTATATTAAATGCAACAATTTATTATTCAAGTGCACATTCGTAAAACTAGTTGATTCTCAACCATTTTGGAATATTTCAATATACGATTCAGCTTGCGATAAATTTTTCATTAAAAAGTAAGAATTGCTTTTGAATGAATTATTTTGGATTGACAATTTATAACTTATTTATGTAGCAAATTCATTCTTTCAACGTGCAAAATATTTGAATGGTATTTATTACTTCGCTAATTAGTTACTGGGTATTACATTTTCATTGTACATTTCAGAATTACTAAAAATTGTACTAATGTTTGAACATATTTTATTGATGTATATGTGATATATTTAAGTGGCCTTAAAATTTGCTTCATCGCGCTAAATGTTGAAATAATGAATACTCTTAGCTTGTGCAATGAATGATGAATTTAAATATTTTATTAAAGTGTTGCAAGAGCCGAAAGCCTTGATTCGTAGTTGAAACTGCATACACATAGTAGAACGAACTTTTAATGCGAGGATACTTCTCATTTTTCAGTTCGTTGTCTTATAATCACTCCGGAGTAAAAAAAATATAAAGAGTTCAGAGGCAAAAAAATGTGGTGGCAGCAGAAGGAATAGCTTATGTACTGGCTTTTCTCTAACGTTATTATTTAAAATGGCATAATGTTTTAATTGTGTATTATTAACCCTCCTTAGGGTAACTTGTTGAAATCGCAAAAAATCAAAATTGGATTTCTTTTATTTCTTCATATGTATGTATTATAGTATGCGTGTATATATACAGGGTGTCCCAGACCTTGACGTCAAGTCGAAGTGGGGTGATAGTATTTACATTAACCGTCTTGAAAAAAATTAAAAAAAATTATGTCACGTCTCAGGCTTGTGCAACCTGAAGCTTTTGTGAAATTATGATTATTTTTCTGTTATTGTGGTTAACTTGTATTAATTTTGTTCATTTAAACTTTAGAACCGTAACCGTGAATAAGATTTCTAGGACCATAATCAAAAACATTAACGCAATTTCCCTCAAGTTTTCAAAAATTAAGCATTTTTGTTGAACTATGAATTTAAAATGTTTATAATCGGTCGACTTTGAGAGGTCTTCCTTTAAGAAAGATGTACTAAAGTGTGTTGGCAAGTTTCATCAAAAGTTGGTGCATTTTATCAAGATTGTAAAATGGTAAAATACTTTAAAATTTTATTATTAAAAATTTTCTATAAATTTCGACAAAGAATTTTCGATTTTCAGAGGCTTTTAACTAATTGTTTATATAAAACTTAATAAACTCTTTGTACAAACGTGTACGGATTTTATCTGACTAGAATTTCAGATATATGATCAAAAAATCAAAGTCTCACATAGTCAAAATATGAAGAGTTAGTTGAAAATATTTAGAGTTTATTTGCTTAGAAACAAGTTTATTTGTTTAGAAATTGCATTTTTTTAATGATATATTTATATTAAATTTGTTTATATAAAAGCAATTTGCCAAACTATTAAATAATTAATTTAGACATATCTATTAAATAATTAATTAATTGTCATTGAATATTTTTTTGAATTATTTCTTAAGCAACAGTTAAAGCTAAATCTGTTATTAGTTATACATAATTAAATCTATTGCATTTAAATAATATTAGAGAATTACAAATAACAAGTAAGTAATTGCGACGTAGCACTGTTTGTCTTAATCACTATTTTATAAAAAAAACTTTTTTAAAAGAAATATGGAGAAATGCGGCCGTCCGAGGCCAATTTAATTTGTGTAGTTAAACCACATTTCTTTTGAAACAAAATATTTTATAAAATAGTGACCACTGACAAGTAGTTCTATTTTATTACTACTTAAATGTTATTTACTGTAATAAGTTCATACTCACTGATGACGTAGAATTTTACGTCGAAATGTATGGAACAATAAAGATGTTGTAACTTTTTTACTTTAATCTTCTTTTTATGCCCTCCAAGAAATTAATCATACATTTCAACATAAAATTTTAAATGGGAATATGTGAATTTGTCCATGAATAAATTTTTTATGTTATTTTATTTGAATATTTTAATTGGCACAACAACTAATTTCGTCGACATATAAAATACAGTACAATATATTAAATTAACTTTATTATATTTATTCAGTAAAGTAAATACGAAACTCCGGTACGTTTGAAAATTGACATCAATTCCCTATCCACTCAGCGGCAGCGGCAGCGGAGGTATTCCGATTTCCTACACAGCAACAATATAACAGTATTCGAACCATATAATAATATTCGTATTTTAGAGAAAACTACTCTCAATTAGAGATGTGAACACAATATTTCGAAAGCAATTAGTTGAATTCTGTTCTTGGTCTTTATATTTCTACATAATTCATTTTTAGTATTTTTACTAGGGATACTAAATATTGTCATTAATTAACAATCATGGCATGAATACATTCCACATTTTAAGTGGAGTAATTCAAGTACATTAATATTAATTTAAAAGTACTAATAATTATTTTACATTACTATAATTATACAATATAAAAAAATCGTTAAATAAATAGAGCATCTCCACTAATAACTAGTAAAAGTAAAGCATATATGTTTTTGAAAACTAAAAACTCTATATGTTAGTAAAAATTAGACGCTGAATGACAATGACAATATAATGCCGAATGTAATTTTCAGTCATTTGCATAAATATTATATATATTATATTTACCAGGCCATCATTTCCCAACTTCTGGTATGCAAATTTCTGGGGGTGCACAAAATATGTATATGAATGAAGTCAACATTGGAAAAAAAGTTTTCTAATTCTAATGATGACCATAATGTATGCTGTAGATTTGGTCGAAAACAAATTATTATGATTGTTAAATATAATTTTATGAATGGATAGAGATTATACGATATAAAAGAGAAAAATATTATTTATTATTAAAGCGAATAAAATGTATCACAATTTTTATATGATAGAAGATAAATTGTATGTTTAAGAATTAAAGATTAAGTATGATGGAATTATGAAATTTCACTTAATTTATGCTAAATCTATTTTTTTTTCAGACATTTCATACGCCATCTTTTGGAGATGAAGATTTTGACATTCCAGTACTAAATCAACAAAATCATGTTACTCAACATCCTACGCATCAGACCCACCAGACTCATCCTTCCCACCAGACACATCAGGAGACGCATCCGTCAATGTATCAGCAGCAGCAACAAATGCACGATGCGTCTCAAAACCTAACCGAGTTGGTGACAATGGACCAGTATCAGCAGCAGCAATTGTACCAGATGCAGACGCCGCAGGAGCAACATATCAATATTGGCGCAGGGTTTGTATTATATACTTTTTATTTTGAATTGACCTTCAAATACTTTGATTTTTTTTATTAACTTCTCGAAGGAGAAATTCTGAATAGAATGAGACCAAAATAGGCAAAACGTATGTGTGTGAGCCGATTTTTGACCTTTCGTCGATATTTTCTCAAAAACGGTTGAATCGATTTCAAAAATTTTAAATTCGATTATTTGATTCTTTAGAATTAGCAGAATAGCGAAAAAATTTTGTCCGAAAATCTTGAATCGATTTTGAAAATTCAAAAACTATTTGAAAGAAACGTGCTGATTAGTTTTTTCGTTAATTGTTAAAAAAAATTGATTGATTTTAATGAAACTTTGTATGGTGATCAGTACTTGGACTTAATGAACATACTAAAATATTATAGTCCTAAAGTGATTTAATTATAAAAATTAATTAAAATTTGAATTAATCGGCCGCGCTTTTAGAAAATAGTTCGTGTATATATTAGGCTGGTGTTTTCCAATAAAGTGTAATAAACAAACTGAACAAAATGAATAATCGGCAATATATTTTTACATTATGAAGCTCTCACCAACTCGGTATACTTATAAATCACTCGTACAACTAGTTATAATTACGTTTTATGAGATGATCAAGCCAATAGTGTACGTAATATTTACTCAGGAAACTATGTAAATTGTTTTACTGATAATGAGTATTTCACAAATTGAGTGAAAAAATGATAATCACTATATTGTGGCTATATTATAAATATTATTGAAGAGTTTTGATAAAAGATGGGTTAAATCTATCCTTTTTACACACAACTGTCGATTTACACGAGGATGACTATAAAATCTAATATAATCTGCACAATTTATTATTTTTTGGATTTACCCAATATGAAAGCTTTAGGGACAAGTAACGTGAAGTCTTACAATGCTTTTTACAATTTTGGTTTGAAAATTTGAAATTATTGCATTTCAAATATTTATTTTTGGTTGAATATAATTTTGATTATATTCAACTTTATTCAATCTTATTAAACTTTGAACTCTTATTTCACTTTTAAATTTCCATTCAGCAGTAAAATTTAACATGGAACCAAAAAGTAAACCTATGATAAAGATTTATATTGTGATTGTAGTTTCAAAAACTGTTTCCATAAGTACTTGAAATTATGAACATCGAATTAGTATTGGAATTGTCGAGGAGGTTTTGAAAAAATGTTTAGTATAGGATTTTGACCTTAAGTGATTCAAAATTATTGCATCTGTGTGCAATAGTTTATTATTATTTACACTTATATATTATTTGCGGATTCTTAGTAGTATTCTGAATATTTGAATCTTTACAATATTTTTTCATTTTCGGTACCCGAGTATAAATCGCACAAATTTTTTGATCATCAAAGCACCCAATGTGATTTATTACGATATCTAGTCAGTTTGTACAAAAACAACAATTGATAAATTTATGATCGAATCTGAATCGATCGTTCAGAAAAAAAAATAGTACAAATATTAATCTTTGCTATAAACGACGGTTAATACGATTCTGTTGAAATGGAGCGACTTGTAATGAAGATAGTTAAGAAGGATGGGGTGTATTCTATTCAGAAGTCTTCGTGAGTATTTTGAATTTTTTTTAAGTTTATTCGAACTACAATTGATATTGACATCTGCCGATCTATAAATCGATTATGAAATGATTGCAAATGGCAATCGATATTCAATCAATTTTCAATAGATCAATATTATTTTTATTCTAAATTGGAATAAAATTTCTGTTATTTATTTTTAATAATAGTATTTTCAATTTTTAGAAGCAATATTATATTAGCAATGCTAATGAACTCAAATAGCATTCTTCTGATATATTGGCAAATGTTTTCAAATAAATCAATAAGTTGATTTATTTATTTTTTGAACAATTTTTTTGTTTATAAATATCTGTAAGTTGAATGCGCTATATTTTATTTATTTTTTTTGATTTGTAATATTATGTGGTTTTGTGTGAAAAGCGGTTTTATTATAAAAATTAAAGCCTAGAAAAAAAAGTAGGCGCTATAGAAACGTCTAATAATTCGAAATGATTTGTTTGAATATAATAGCTTTTTATGCTGATTTATTTTTGAATAAATTGGAACGCACCTCCTGCGAATTTTTTTAAATGCAAATTTTATTTTTTTTTATTTCTTTTTTTTGTGAATTTTTAGTCAATGCGACCTTACTACCAACAAATTACTAAGCTAAGCTGTATTAAAACAAATTAATAATTGATAATGATGCGAATTGCAAATAAAAGTTATTCTGTTTTTATAAATACTGTTTAATTGACAGTTTTAATGAATAAAATATCGGAAACTTTTTGTAACTTTGAATTAATTTATTTTAATAAAAAGCTAATTAATTTTTTTTGGTTCTAATTGGATTGTTCTTTAAATTTCTTTAATTGCAAACCTTATTTTTCAATACAGATTTTACTCTTTTTTATTTGACTATATATCGATAATACTCTAAATGTTCTGTAAATTTTTAAATACATTTATTAATAATAAATACTTCAAATATTTTGTCAAAATTTACGTAGTCTATAAGTAAAATTCAATTTATCTGTGATCAGACTTGAATTGAATGCCATTAGAGTTTGTTAGCATTGCTGATGTAAAATAATGTACTTTTAAAAATTTATGCTACCACTAAAATCTAAATAACACTAAATTTATTCCATTTCAAAGCATAAATAAATAGGCAATTAATTTAAACGTGCATTTATATTTTTAAATTTTATGTTTTCCTTCGTTGTTTTTTTTTTTCTAAATTTGAAATGAAATAGAAACCTATGGCGGATCTGTCGTAATAGGAACGCCGACTTTATATGGAGTATATGGAATTTGCTTTATTTCTATTATAAATATTTATATTCGTTACGGTTAGCGTACAAGTTTTAATATTAGAAAGCAAAGTATTCATTTCACTATGTATGATGTATATAAATGTATGAATGTTTTAGTGCGCCATACAACAGTCAACCTGGCGTCGGTGTGTATGCGCCGATGACGTCACCAGGACATCATCAGATGATGATGATCCAGCAGCAGCAGCAGCAACAGCAGCAGCAGCATCAGCAGCAACAGCAGCAGATGCCCAATAATCTCTTAGGTATAAACAGAAATTATTTATCATCAACAATCACTTCATAAAATACGTTGGAAATCGTTTAAAAAAATGATAGGATTTGAAAATACGATTGATATAAGAGAAATTTAAAGCATATAATATAAAGATGTAAAATTGTTTGAAAATTGAAAATTCAATGTTATTACCGCATACATACTTATTTTTTTAATTAGTGTGCTATTAATTTTTCAATTAATTTAAATAGTTTCACAACATGAGACAGATTGAAGGTAATCCCTGAGTATTTTAAATTTTTCTTTTCTTTCCCTTGGAGGCTTTTACAGCGTCTTGTATATTTAAAATATTTATCGAAAAGAACTTATGATAAAACGCGGGAAGCATATATAACGTTGAAATACATTCATTACTTTGCCTTGTTCCTGTTTTGTAGTTTATTATATCAACTTTCTCTTCAAGACTCAGTTATAACATAAGAATACAAACCTTTGATTTTACTTTGCAATGTCAATAACTACAGTAATAAACTTTTTGACCATCAATAGGATGATTTCCACGTAATTATTTTTATTTGTACTTTAATGTAGATTCATTTCCCTAACATAAAATGGTTTATTGTATTTTTTTATTATAAAATTCATTTACCGAAATTACTGAATAATAATAATATTTCATGTTTTGCACTAACAATAATGCAATAAAAACCTATTTTTATGTACTGATTACACAGGTCCACAAAATACAAAAACTTGTCTGTATTTTACCGCTGAACACGAATATAAAATTAAAATTGGGGGTCAAATGGCTAGAAATTGAATAAAAAAAAAACACAAAATATCCGATCTAGTAATAATAATATAATAATCAAGATCTTGTAATTTCTGTCGTTTCCTGGCTCTTTTTACCTTAAATGACTATTGAGTTTTAATTAAATGATCTGTTGAGTTTTTTGTATAATTCAATTTTGTACAATTTGCAAATATATTGCCTCCTCATTGCCCCCGGGTAATCAGCAACCATGTTGCGTGTTGAATATCTGAAAATGTGTTGGCAAAGTACTGCTGTATTCAACAAAAAAACTTAATAGATTATTTGAATGAATATTCAATAGTCATTCAAGGTAGACAGGGCCAGGAAAGGACAAAAATAAGATTTTAAGTATCAAACAGAAGAATTAGTAGAACGATGATTGTGTCGTTTTTTTTTTTTTAATTTTTTTGCCATATGATCCCCAATTTTGACTTCCAGCGGTAAAAACTACATTTAAAAACGTTTGGCGCACATCCAATACAAACTTTTTTTATTTTGTTGGCCTGTGTTATCCTTATTTCCTTGATTTTTCTGGAGTTTTACTTTAAGATTTGATTAAACATATGTTTATATTTATATAAACATTCATATAAATATTTACAAACAAAATATAATAATAAATAGTTTTAATATTACATTCAAACTCTAATTGTCGATTTAATTATTGCATAAATTAAAGCAATTTTAATGTGTCGAAAATATATTTTTTAATCAAACTAATTTTTCAGTTTGTTGAATTTTTAATTTAATCACTATATTAATTTAAAATGCCGTATTTTAGTGAAAAAGCGTGATTTTGCGAAGAATCGAAAGAAATAAAATGGAATTTGGGCGCTAATCTTCGCAGTTTATTCTAATTAGTACAAAATAATTAGCACACAACACGGTATAATTAGTATAGTCTCGTCTCCTGCGCTCTTGATTGCGTATTAACACCGCTTCCATGCCTCATAGCAGATGAAGGGAAAATTCCAACGCTCATATAAAATATTATTATTTATTCGATTATTATTTAATTTTGTTCTTTTGTTTATATAACGTAATTATAATTTACTAGCCATGTATATCATAAATATAATGTATAAATAAAGCATAATAAAAATCATACTGAAATTATTCATGCAAATTCATGTTTGAAGTTGTTTAAACAAAAACTAAACAACTTCGTTAATAAATCAGATCAGATTTATTATAATAATTTAAATCAACTATTATAATAACTAAGTCACTAATTTACTTGCAATTAATTTTTAATACTAGTGATATAATTATTTGAATCGCATTCTAAACCATTTTATATTATTATTATTATTATTATTTCCTAAAATCATTTCTTCATTTTGATATACATTTTTTTTACCTTATTACATGATTGATCGCACTAGTGATGTTTTATAAAGCATTTGTCAGTTTTCTCATGCAGCTCCAATCTGTTTGTGTTAATGTTTTAAAGTATTATCAAGGGGATAATCATATATTTTTTCAAACTAAATTCCATGTGAAGATATACATATATCGGGATGTTATAATAAACTTAAATATTTACGTTATGCATTTTAGTCTGATTAATTAGATAACGTATGTTTTAGTGACGAATAATTTTCACATTTTTCTAATAATTATCTAATCTTAAGGCGCGATATTTCATAACCGCTGCTAATTTTAACAAGATTTTTGCGCTAGATACGTATATTGCAGATAGGTTTTAATTAATGTTAAATCCAAATGTATTGCATTTTTAAGGTCCAAATCAAGGTGCAATGCAGTATGGACTGCCGAACCAACAGGCAACAGTACCTTTAAATATAGGAACCACTCATATAACTAACTTAGACGCTAATCCACCGACTCAGCATAGTACTACTAGTGAAGATAGCGATGATGGAACTTCGCTTCATTTGGTAAGTTTTTTTTAAAAAAAATGTCGTAATTGGTATACAGTAATTCGTATTATGATGGTAATAAATTGCTTATATAACAACTATATCGCAAGAATAGAAAAAGAGCATTTATTTGCGAAAAGGTTGAAATTTTACGATTTTATTCTTTTGTCATTAACATTATGTTAGTTAAACTTTAGCGTAGATGATTAAAAAATTGGAAATATATAATTCCATTATGTTTTTATAATTTATTTTTTAACTTCCCGTAGGGTAAGTTATTTTTTCTCTAAATTGAAATTTTATATATGGCTGTGATGCAAATCATACGTTTATTATTATGCGGTAATTATGTGCTTTGGTTTCTATTCTCAATATTAATTTATATATCAAAGTAATCGTTGTCACTTTTCAAAAAACTGACTGGCCGACTTGATAGATTGTTTCTTTTAAGAATTAATATTACTTTTTTGTTTATTTATTTATTTTTTATAATTTTACCTGATTAATTATTTATTATGTAACGGTGAATAATAGTTAATAATGAACAATCTGTCAATCGTAAAGTTTATTATAATGGTATTTGTCGATTAATAGACTATTAGTCTATAAACGAAGTACACGTTCGCTACAAAAAGCCAAGTTTTGATAACTTTGATAATTTTCGATAACAGTTTCACATACTTTTGAGTGAAGCACGTGTTTATTCAACATATTTACTTTTAATATAATTGGTAATCAATGTAAAGCAACATTTCAATTTTTTTCTTATAATGCTCTTTTTTTAGCGCTATTTTTACGTGCATGCCTTATTTTTTCCTTTATGTATATTTGGGTATGCTAATGTGTATTGCATGTGTATTGCATGTGTATTGCACGCTTATTTATTGAAAGAGTAATCTTAATTATTGTAGTGTAGTCCTAATTATTTGTGTCATTAAATTGTTAGTATATACTTCATATTGAACATTTTTGTAGAAGTGCATTCATAATTAGATAAGGATTAAAGCGTTTAAAATGGTAAAATTCATTAACAAAATAGTTTCACTTAAACAATGAATCTTAATATAAATAGCGTCTAAATATACTTTTCACTCTTAAAATTTGATTAATGAGTGTACAAAATATAAGATAAATTTCACTTTAGCGGCATAATGATTTGAACCGCTTTTGTAATAGAATTTATTAAGGATTGAAACGAAAAGTCAAAAAGATTTGATTTCTTTTTTTACTTTATGTATATATTACATTATGCGCCATTTTTATGATAAGTGTTGGTGCCATAGAAATTATCGACACATTAGCTTAACCACCATGTCGATTTCGGCAATGCGAGTCATCTAATTATTAAATGGTTGAAAATGGATTTAGGGAAAATGTTCTGGGCATATGTAATCCTATATTTTCAGGGCTTAAATTTTCTCATGGAGCGTCAAGAAGAGGACGAAGTCGGTCCTGACTTTATTGATACGCATAACTTGAATGATTCTTTTGTCGATCTTATTCGAGATCTAAGAACCGAGCCAGAAGACTTTTATTACGAATTTGATTATAATCAAGATGTAGCTGAGATCGAAGTTGACTGTTTGAACGAACATATTCTTAGTGATAATTCGGATATATTAGATTTCGATGATTTGATATCATTAGATGACGATTATTCGAAATCATTAGATGACGATGATTTGAGATCATTATTCGATGACGATGATTCGGAATCATCAGATGACGATGATTCGAGAATTTTTGATGAACTCATTGATGTAGATGTAGATGACGAATGGTTAGCACGATATTATGCGGTAATGCCTACTTTTTATATTATTGTTCGAAATTTGCCACTTAAAAATTAAAATTTTGAAACTCGTTTTTCTTGTCTTGATTTTGCGAATATTTTTATCCGAATTGTGAATGGTTAAACCATGATAACATTGATGTGGCTTCATTTTATTTACTATAGTGTGTGACGCTTAAATTATAACAAAATTATACATTATAAATAACGTACAACGATCCGTACTTTGTGCGTTTTCAAAGAAATTGTTCAAATATATATATAATATATATATATATATATATATATATATATATATATACAACTTACTATTCTCAAGTTGAAGTTGTGGAAATTGGTAATAGTGATATTTTCATTTTTTATTATAATTTTGCATGACTATCATTAAAATAATTGGTATATATATATACAACTTACTATTCTCAAGTTGAAGTTGTGGAAATTGATAATAGTGATATTTTCATTTTTTATTATAATTTTGCATGACTATCATTAAAATAATTGCTTGCTTTATTCCTGTATATAATATTTGGTATATGTATACTAACCATGGGCCGCCTAGCAAGACGATGTTCCAGCATTTCAACTGTTTGAAACTATATTGTTACCAGAAAAATTGATTCAATAAAACTAGCATTTATTGAATTATTTATCTAATTATGACTTCGTTAAATACTGAGTTTTGAGTCTTCATTTTAACATTTTTGATTTTTACTGGGAAAATGGTAACGGTATATTGTCAGGTTTGGCGGCCACTCTCAATCCCTTATTCTATACAAAAGATATATCAGGTCACGCACAGGTAAATAGAATGTTTGCTAATATTACATAATATTTTGTGCTAATTTGATCTATAATTTTTGATTGTGTTTGTTTCACTTTATAGCAGACCTTAAAAAGGCCTTCACCAGAACCAGCCGATCAAGTGGTTGCTAAAATTAAAAAGCCTAAAGTTCAAAAGAAGAAGAAAAAGAGAGATCCAAATGAGCCTCAAAAGTAAGCAAACATGATTATGCTTTAGTGAACTTTCTGTACTTATTTATTTCGATATAATACTTACACAATAATGTATTAACAAATTTGACTATAATATCTATGCATCAATGTACTTTATATTATATTTGCAATTTTCTAGTATTATTAAGTTATTATAGTATGTAAAACTGTTTGTTCATATATTTATTACTACTTGTAGTAATTTTTAAATCACTTTGAATGCTTTCTAAATAGTAATTTTAGTTTTTCAATACCAGTATTTTAAGAATCATCTGACTTTTTTCTCAGTTTTTTATTATAAAAACTTCAACATGAAATAAAATATATGCCTTTTAGCAGTATTTAAAATAATTAAAATCGAAATAATAGGACTATGTTTTCTGAGCATCTTTATACTTATATGCTAGCTTGCTATTAGCATAGAAGTATTTTCTGTAAGGTGTTATACATTTTGCAATTTTGTTAGGAAAACAAAAATTATCTAGTGATTATTGAATTCTTCCATTTTAAATTGCCACGAAGAATCGATAATTTAATTGAGGGGATTCATAAAACTTAATTTGCTTTTGACTTTACCGGATTTATTCTAAATTTATTTCCAGGCCCGTTTCTGCGTATGCGCTGTTTTTTCGCGACACTCAAGCTGCAATCAAGGGTCAGAATCCAAATGCCAGTTTTGGGGAAGTGTCTAAAATTGTAGCGTCTATGTGGGATGCTTTAGATACTGAACATAAAAACGTAAGCAATCTTATCTATTTTAATATTTGTTCAAGAATATTTGAAATTCATGTTAATTTTGGGTACTCTTCAGGTTTATAAAAAGAAAACAGAGGCGGCCAAAAAAGAATATTTGAAAGCACTGGCTGCTTACAGAGCCAGTTTAGTATCAAAAGTAAGTGCTATTTTTTAGTATGTTATAAATATTTTTCACCGGTCTTAGTTTAATTATTGCGTTTGTTGAATAGGGCACAGGTGAAAGTGAGAATATGTATCAAAATTATCAAAATCCTGGGTTTCAACCCCAGCAATATCCTGCTTATGCTCAGCCAGTTCAACAACCTGCTCAAAATCCTCAGATTCAACAAGTGCAGCATTCTCCACAACAAGGTAAAAATTATTAATATATATACAATGTATTATAAATTTATTTTATTTTATTTTGTCTGACTGTACACATATTTGCATTCGATCTTCCAATATTGTTTATATAAAATTCTGAAATAAAAAAACCCAAACTAAAAAAATAGATAAATAAACACTTAAATTTTAAAAGCTCAATAACAAAGCTTTTGAACCAAGTATGGTGCATATATTTTGAGTGGGTAATTGTAGTATTACATCATTAAAACACACATGAACATTAGTACATAGGTGTTATGTGTTTTTTATTTTTATTTAATTATATTGCAAGTCCATATTCTGCTTGAATATGCAGGAGCTGCTTTAAATATAATTATATCTCTACAAATATAATAAATATTTTGAATTAAACATTTGAGATAATTAGCATTAGGAATGCTGCTTAATTTTTACACAAATGTCTACTGTTGATCTAAAATAAATAAAAAAGATGCCTATATGTAATTTTTGTGATAAAACTTCTACACTAATTATTCAGTAACTTATTGATTTTTTTTAAATTGGTTTCAGGCAATGGAGTGCAATCTCCATCTGGTATGACTGGAGGTATGCAACAATTAAGCCCCATGTGCCAAGTGCAAGGAGGAAAGCCCACTAATCTTGGTGGAGTGATTATGCCAACAATGAACAACGTTTCCAATCAAAACCAAGTAAGAGGGATTAGCATGTAATAATTACAGTTTATGTAATAAATATTTGACTTTTGGTTATTCGGAAAGTAAAAATGTAATTGCATCTTTAGCGTTCAAGCGTACTCTCATACCGTGTAATTATTAACAAATGTCTTAATAACATTTGAACTATAATGTAAATATAATTTAGGCTGGTGCTCTTTTTAAATATAGTGAGCAATTGTCTTAAACATTAATTTGAATCAGATGTATGAAATTTTATTTTTGCTACTTTTTTTATTATTGTGTTATTTGTAATAAAGCCATAACAAATAACACAATATATTATAATAAAGTAATAGTGTTGTTTTGGTTGGTTTAGAATAATAACTGTTTTTTTACTGAATGTGAACCAGAAAAATTTGTCAACTAATTCACTTTTTTTTTTCTTGATTTTTGTTAATAGTCTGTGATGACCCACAACCAGATGATGCAACAGCAGCATAGCATTAATCAGCAGCAAGCTAGTCAGCAGCACATACAGATAGGACAACAACAGCATTATATGCAGCAGCAGCAACAACAACAGCAACAGCAGCAGCAGCAGCAGCAACAACAGCAACAGCATGCTCAGGTATGGTCTATATATTAATTTGTAATATAATTATGAGATTTAAGTTGAGTAAAAAGTAATTTTTGCAATAATAAACAAAAATTATCAAACATTTTTTATTCTCTTGTTTAAAACTGAAAAGCACAACAAAACATTTTACATTATTGAATATTTTAAGCTAAAAACCATGTTCTTTCTAGAAATATAAATTATTATTTTATTAACAAGGACTTTTACTATTCATCACTATAAGTTTGACGTCGTTAGACAGTCTTTTATGAAGATTAATCAAATTTTCAAATCATTTTGGCAAATTGATTATCTAATATTATCAACTAAAATCTGCATCTGTTGTGTATGTTTGATATAATAAAGATATCTCTAGAAGACAGATGTGTAATAAGTTGCTGGTTTTTGTATGACTTACAAAGAGAATGTATTTTAGATGAGTTTTGATATATATTTTTGTAACAGATGATATCTGCTTCTAATCAGCAACATGTGAGCCCTCCATTGCCCCAAGGCCAAGCCAATAGAAATAACAATGTGCCGTCCTCCTGCATTCGCCATGGGTGCACCAACGCCGCTGTCGCCAACGCTGAGTGGGAAGATGAGTACTGCAGCAATGAATGTGTTGTTAGTCATTGCAGGTAAATTATTTTTAACTATATAAAACTTCTGAGTGATCACTTTTTTACGCAATTAATCCTCAAAGCATTAATATTATAATTAGAGTAACAAGAAGGAACACTTTCTGAAGAGTTTTGAACTATGTCACAAAGTTAATAATTGTAGTTATAAATAAAATATAATATCGAACTTGCATTTATAAAAATGCATGAAATACTGTTGTTTTCATTTATTTTATATTGAAATTATTCAACTGCTTTTTTAAATGTGTCAAAAGGCAGCCTTTACAAATGTTGACAAAAAAATTGTTTCTATATCGCTATCTAGTAAAGCTTTAGTATCCATTATTTCTATACATGTAAGCGTGGTCATCCTTTAAAACTTGCCAAGGAATGCAGTTTTATTGAACATTTATGAAGTTCACTTCCATTTATCTAGGGTTTTGTGAATAACAATTAAAATTAATGAACTACTCGTAGGGAGTGTAGACTAATCGTCTACAAACGATACTACTAATTAGAGTGTACACTAATCGTCTTCAAACCATCTATGACTTAAAAAAAATAGTCAATCAAAATTGCAAGAATACAGCGTGAAGTGATAATATATCAGAGATTTGCAATATGTCATTTTTCACAAATAATCTTTAAGATATTGTGTGAACTATTAGCAATACACAAACTAAATACTAAAAGTATTGTCATTTATTGTTCACAGTTCTTGGAAATCTATTCATTTTTTTGTCGAACCCTGGATAATCTGGAAATCCATTTAGTTTTTTAAAAAAAATCTATTATTTTTATTAGTAGCAGTGTGTCTTTATTTTACGGAATAAACTTAAACTAACCCTTTGTTTCAGAGATGTGTTTGGTTCATGGGTTAATTCCAACAGCACTCAACCTCAAACTTATTCAGCCGTCAAGTGAAGTTAAAAATGTTATTTATGAAAGCATATTAGATTTCTAATATTGAAGCAATATCATACATATTATTTTTTATTTATTAATATGTATATTAGTTTTTTAATAATTAAGCAATATCATACATTTTAAATAAAATATTTTATAATACCGTGCATGTATTATACTTATTGGAGTTTTGAAAAATTATGTTATTAATTTGTATGATGTTGTGTAGAGAAAATTCATTTGTTGTATGATATACTATATTCTAATAAATCACCCAAATTAGACTTCAGCATCATGAAACTGAAGAATTTGTGTAAATTGTTTTATATCATTTAAATAAATAGAGTATTGAAATATAGGTATATGACAAGGCTCTACAGCCAATACTGATAATTTTTTGCAATTGTTATTTTTAGAAATATCATTAAACGTAATCTATACAGGTTGTACTTAGGGCAATCATTTAAACAGCATAAGAAGTGCTCAAAACATATTAAAGCTTACTATGTGATTCAGTATAAGTGATTTGGTATAAAACTAGTTTACATTGATTGACTTTGATTACAATTTTATTAGAAATGTATATGCATAAAATTTAATATCGTATTCATCATTATTATCTAAGTCTGGATTATATAACTATATGAGTTAATTATTAAGTTTTATTTCTATTAAAAATGAATATGAATTTAATTTTATGCTTGTGCATGTATATATATATATATATATATATATATATATATATAATCTTATGCATACCATTTTCTAGATCCTCATTAATATGGTAACTGTTCCTCTTATGATTAATTAGGGTCCTCATTTTGTAGTTTGATGCAAATGGATAACATTCAATTTATATAATATATTATATGATAATTCTTTTTATTACTTTTTAGTTACACAATTATATAAATTTAGGATTGAGTCAACTCGTTGACATGATTATTTATTAAATAATAATTTTTAATATCTCGGAGTTTTTATTGTTGAGTCAGCTGAAAGATGTTAGATTTGATGAGGGATGGAATATCTAGGGTCTAGATCTAATGTAAATATTTTATGTATTTACACATACACACACGCATATGTATATATATATATATATATATATATATATATATATATATATATATATATTGATATTGTTTATTTCGACTTTGGAACATATTGTTAAGATTTTTCAGCCACAAGTTTTTCTTTTTTCGACTTGTGGCTGAAATACTTTAACAATATATATACACACACATATATATATATATATATATATATATATATACATATATATATATACATATACATATATATATATATATATATATATATATATATATATATGTTGTGCATGGATTGCTTTTTGCTTTTACATGGACTTGAACATCTGTGTGTGTAAGCATATGTACACATTGGTATGTGTTAAAACATAGATTGTTGCATATATTACATATTATATACTATCCCCATATTCATAATGAAAAAATGCACAAGTATGTATATAAATTTATGAAACATGCATGTAATAATAAACACACGAACACACACACACATTCTTATACATATATATATATATATATATATATATATGTATATATATATATATATATATATATATATATATATTATATACATTATATGAGGTAAGTGTATAGACTATCATACATAATGTAGTATTATGAATAAAATGGTTCATTAAATTGATTGATGCCATAATATTTCTTTATTAATTTAAATATTTCAATAATAGTACTCTGTTTATTTCACAATTTACTATAATAAAGCCATTATTAGACCTCCTGTTTTTATTGTTATTATAAACAATTTGCTTTCTTTGTTTCAGCTAGTGATAATTTGAAATCTTTTACAGTTCCATTTATTCAATTATTCTCAAATTATTGTATCTATTATAGTATAGTAATATACTAACATGGTTTTCATTATGCAATACCATTTGTTATAGTAAAACATTTAAAGTCATTATTATTATATGCACTTTTATTTTTTACGCTTTTGGGAAATTCTAAAAGCATAGTTTTAACATGATTAATAATCATGTTAAAACTAGCATTATCAGAAAAAGTTAAAGCTACAAATTGTTTCCAGTTTAAATATTTATCCTGTTAAGTTTTTTAATTTAATATTGTAAGAAATCGCCAACCACATGTTATTAGAAATTAGTTTCAGCCTGTTTTGATAATTTTATATTTTTGCCATATTTCAAGTCTTTATTGAAACCGTTCAACACATGAATTGAAAAGAAGTTGTGGGTAAGTGTATGTAAACGCTTAAAATATTTACATATAATTATGATTTCAATATACAAAATACCTTCCTGGCTTAACCCTTCCCACTCGGATGCCGCCTCGGATAAAACTCAGAATTTGCAAGTAGAAAGGGTTAAATCGAGAAGTACTATTAAAGTAAAATGTGAAAAATAAAGTAACTACTGAGAGCAAAATGTTTTATATTCAAACTAATCAAGTGCATGATATTTTTTATCATAACATATTTATCTTATTTGTTATAGTCATCTTCATCGAGTAAAACCTATAGGTCTTACTTATCTTTTAAGTCTTTTTCCTCACAGCTCTAATAATTATGATTATTAGAGCTGTGAGAAAAAAGACTTAAAAACATGTAAAATTGTTTTTTTTTTTCAGCTGCATCGCCGGGTAAAAAAATAAAAAATTATATGTTTCAGTGATCAGGTTCTTATTCACAGCTTTTTGCGCAAGGGTGAACTCGATTAGACCGTTTGAAAGGATCCTAAATCACCGATACTGTTTATTCTTAATTTTCTTAAAATTGGATATGTTGTTAGTGAAATATTTATATCACTCACAATCAGTTATATAACTACATTATATACATTATATGAGCCGCTCAGTGCACACATCGACTAACTCCACTTTTTGAAAAAACTGAGATATTAGTGGGAAAGAACTTGGTATAATCATAACTTTTAGTATTTATAATAACTTTCCGGAATAATAAAGATTAGCACCGTTAAATGGCAATTTTTTTTTGCCATTGAATAATAAGTAATTTATTTCAGAAGCCATTTCGATTAACTCCATACTCTGTATAATGTAAATCGTTTCAGTAACGCTGTATCTGTTCTGGCCGTGCATCGACGCTTCTACATTTATATTTGAATTCATATTATCAGGGAAATTTTAAAAAACAATATACATAATCATCGCGTTTCTCAACTTTTTGTTTTATGGAGTTAATCGATGTGTGCACTGAGCGGCTCATATAATGATATTACTGAAGTCAAATTATTTTATATTGTAAGGTTTTTTAATCTTTAACCCCTTAACTTAAAATGACGAGCAGAGCCCGCGTGCGATTCTAGGCCAAACGTAAATATTACGGGCATAGCCCGCGTACGATAATCGGGAAAGAAGCAAATATTACGCTTTACGGACATTGCCCGGTACGGCAATCGCAAGTATCACAAAATATTTATTTAAACAATACTATAAAACACAAAATTATTTTTAGTTTTGTGAAAATCTGTACACTGTGTGGGAAAATAGTCACAAACGCTGCGCCAGCTTGTACAACTTTGGCCCAACATTCTCGAATCTAAATTAGTTAAGGGGTTAAAGATGTTGATTGCTAACAACAAAGTTAGTAATATAATTAACAGATAGTGATAAAAGGAAATAGTTTATTTTATATGAGAGGTGAAAAATAGATTTAGAAATATTTTTTTTATAAAACTTTATGTCTCGGTTTGAACGGGACAGTCCCACATTTCCACCTCGTGCCCCGTTTTGTAAATTTAAAAGCAATATTTGTCCCGAAGTTAGATTTTTTGTCCCGGATTGTTCCGGGTTTTCGAAGAGTTTAAATAATTTCAATGTTTCAATTGAAAGGTTTAAATTGAATCTTCGCAAATACTTGATCAAACTAGTTGATTTGGTATTTAGCCTTGAGGCAAGTTACATGAACTTCCCGATATATTTAAATAATCGACTTAATCAATAAAAAATTAATTTATGAGTCATTAAAAGTATTCCGAGTGGATTTATTACACATAATTGAAAACGAACGAACACTTTGACTCGGAGTATTTTCTAAAAGCAAATTTTCAAAAATCAATAATTTTTATAATTGAACCAGTTTTCAGGACTTTAATGGTTTATTATGTTCAAGACCAAGTACTCTATCATTATAACAAGTGAATAGTCTAATTTTAATTTTAACAAATGTCAAAAGAGCTACTCATTTTCTCCAACTTTGATGAATTTTTAAAATCAAACTATTTATCGTAAGGCCGTAATATTTCAGTAAGTTCTACAAGACCATGGTATATATCGCTAAAAAAAATTCCATAAAAATCGGCTTAATTTTTTTTTCAACAGTTAATTACAAGAAAACGGCTCGGTAGATTTTCACCTAAAACTAATCAGTATCATTCCCAACTAATATCTTTCGAACAGTTTTTGATTTTTTAAAATCGGTTCGGTAGGATGAGCTTAAATGTGGACGAAAAGTTTAACACTTTTTTTCAAATTACAAAGAAACGGCTTGGCAGATCGTCGCACAAAACTGACAAACGATAGTCCTCACCGAAATACATCAAATGGCTTTTAAATTTCTGAAATCGGTTCAGGCGCTTTTGAGAAAACGTCGATCAAAAGTCTAATTTTGGCAAATGTCAAAAAAACGATACCAATTTTTGCAAACTTTGACGAATTTTTAAAGCTAAACGAGTTGTCGTAGGGCCGTAATATTTTAGTATGACCTAGAAAACTATGGTATCTACCGTCAAAAAAAAAATCATAAAAATCGTCGAAATTTTTTTTTTAAAAACATTATCACAAGAAAACGGCCCGGCCGATCTTTACCAAAAACTAATCAGCACGATTCCCAACCAATATCTATCGAATGGTTTTTGAATTTTCAGAACCGATTCAGAATTGCGGGCTAAAACGTGGACGAACAATTTTTCACTTTTCTGCAATTTACAAAGAAACGGCCCGGCCGATCGCCGCACAAAACTCAGAAACGATAGTCCTCATCGAGATACATCAAATGGCTTTTAAATTTTTGAAATCGGTCCAGCCGTTTTGAAGAAAACGTCGATTTACGGCAAAAAATCTGTTCACACACACACACACACACACACACATACTTTTTCCAAATTTGGTCTCATTCGATTCAGAATGGCTTGAAACGTCGAGAAAACATAAAATTAGCGAATCGGATTTTTTGATGAAAACATAAACTTCTCCTTCGGGAAGTTAATTAATCAAATCAAATAACGACAACCATTCATTCAATATATGAAAATGATATATATACTGATACAATCGCATACTCGCGAGGATGCTTAAACGAAACAAAACGTTATGAATGTTAAAATAGTCTTATAATTTATAATTTTAAACTTTCATTTAATGTACATTAGCAAAAATTATGAAAACGAACGACTGTTCTTGTGTTCAACATTAGTCGATTTTTTAGGCGCCGTCTTAGACAATATTAGAATATTATATTCATGGGCGTCGTCTAAACTAAACAAATATCCGAAACAATACGAAAAGTGCATCAATCTTAACCATGATATATATATTAACGCGTATATATATTAACTGAAAAACTCTTTGATTAGATTTTGACGAAAACCAATTTTATTTTCTTCAGATAAACAGTTAAATATTTTATCTAAACAGCGAAATTTCAATTTTTTTTGAATTTAACAAAATACCGCACTTACAACAATTGTTAAGTAAGTTAAAAGTTAAACTTATTAAGTTGTTTATTTTTAACTTCCCGTAGGGTAAGTTATAGTATTCGCAAAAAAACGAAAATGAAATTTTTATATATGTTTACGTTTCAGAGGTTTCTGAACATTTTGGCATACCTTAGAAAAAATGGATGTATGTGTGTCTATGTGCATATGTGTGTGTGTGTCTGTGCGTGTGTGTGTGGATACAAATTTTCGTCGACGATTTCGGGAACACGGTTCAACCGACTTCAATTATTCAAAAAACATTCGATTGCAGTTGATAAGGAGACGTGCTGATTAATTTTTGACATAGGCAGGTCTAGCCGTTTCGGAGATACGGGGCAAAAAGTGCCACAAACGGTAACTCAGTTTTTAAGAGAACGGAGCGTCCCATTTTAATAATTCAAAAAAACATATTTTACTTGTATTGACGAAATAAACTGGTAAAATTTTGGGGAAGGCAGGTCTAGCGGTTATGGACTTTCAATGAAAATAAGTTGGAAAAGTGTCATGTGGCGGTCAAAAATGTTTATTTGACATATGTACATCAAATTATCAGATATTTTATAGAGATTTTAATATTGTGTACACATTTTGTGTAAATTTTTTTTGGTTCCGTACCAAGACTTTTAATTTTGAAGTTTATTTATATGATTCAACAAATGTTCTCGACATCTTCGACAGAAAGGAATAACCGATTTTTAAAATTGAAAAATCATTCGGTTCGTACTCGATTGCGAGGCGCTTTTGCAAAAGGCAATTTTGCCGTTTTGGAGGTATGGAGCGCAAAGGGTGTAACAACGGTTATTCAGTTTTTGAGAGAACGGTTCATCCGATTAGAATAATTCAAAAAACATTTTTCCGTCTAGGTGTGCAAAAAATGCATTTGGAGAAAAATTAATAAATTTGAAAATTTTTTAAAAAAAATCTAAATTTTCAAAAAAAATGAAATTCCAAAAAAATCAAAGTTTCAAAAAAATCAAATTTTCGAAATTTTTCATCATTTTCAAGGAAAAAAAATACATTTCTATGGGTTCCGTACCAATGATTATCCGCCAAACTGCATTTTTTGTATGGAAAGTTTTAGCAATTTGCCTTAAGGCACGATGCCATGCACCACTAGTTTAGATATGGATTGAAAATAGTTCGTAATTTCTTATTGTTTGAATTTCAAATTATATATAAAGGTTTAAATAGTCGCTATTTAGTTGTGCTTTCCAGACGTAGATGGAATTCCGTCCTGATTTTTTGGCTTTTGACACCTTACTTCGGTTATGTCTAATTTTCCAAATATAAGAGCGTTAAAATTGAATATCATGTTATTAGAATCTTTGTAAATAATATGTCAGTAATTTTGTGATAATAATTCTGAACAATAATAAGATGTGTCATGTTTCAATGTTTAATACTATATATTATTTCTTAAAATGTTTATGCACACTTTTATTAATGATAAGTGTTCTGAACCGTCATTAACTGTCAAACTTCGTAACATTTAATTTTAATTTACATGTTTCTCGGATATTAGAATAAATTCGATCAACATTTAATCGCTTTTCCTTAAAAAATTATGTTTTAAATTATGTTAATTACAAAATTTATCAATCACCATCATGGAATGCCCATTGACTCTTGATATTGTCAACAAATTAGGTACCATTTGTTTTATTAAGATTCATTTTATAATCATATTTAATTTAATCATTTATTTATATATGAATTCTCTTTTAGACCACCCTCTTCCAGATGTTCGTTTGCGATGGCTTTTGTACATATTAAAAGCAATAAAACATTCGAATTTCAAAAATCATGTTATTGCTTTTAGCATAACATTAAAATTATCAGAATGGATAAAAAAATACCCACAAATTGAAGAAAAAAATGTATTGCAATCAATTTTGGATTTAGTCAAACGTAAGTGAAATAAATGAGATTATAATTATTTTAAAGAAGATTATGGTCTCATTCATTGTTGATGATTTTTCGCTTGTCGATTTCTTTCATATTCAACTGTGTAATTTATATTAATTTTAACCATTTATGATTTATTATTATTTGATAGTACAAAAGATTTAGAAGCAAATCTACGCCAGTTTTTACACAAATGCATTGCATTGTTTTTACACAAATGCACCATAGATTTGTATTTTTCTCTATATGAAAATTATAATTTAATATAATATATGTATATAGTATTTATGTGGCATTTGAACTAATGTGAAATAATTTCCAGGTTTTAAGGTGCATTTTTCAATAGACAACTTAAACAAATTAATTAATTCAGTGTCTTGCGGTAGAAAGCGTGTTTTACCGGAACATCAATTTCTTACAAATCTCATAGAAGAAGAGTTATCGGGTAATTCCAAGTTGTTTAAATTTAATAATAGCTTATCTTTTTATTCGACAATATTTGAATAAAATAATAGTTAGTATTAAAAATTAGTTAAATTAAATTATTGTTTTTTTATTATTTTAATAGTACAATTATTCAAAGTAAAATATAATAACAAATTTTAATAGCTAAATATGAGTAAAACATTTGAAATAGATACTTTTATAGTTTTATTTTATAGAAATTTGAAATAGAAATAGAACTTTTCATGCTATTAATCAGTATTTTATTTAAGAAGTCATCTTTCACTTTTACTTACATTTTTATATCAATTTTAGAATTTTGTTTAGGAAGTGCTTGCAAGTCTAATATTTCTGATAGCAATGAAGTGGAATCTATTAAAGTGTCATCCAACGATTTTTCCGAATATTCCTTGTAAGTTTCTATTTTTTTAAATTCTTTTTTCTTGTGCTTATTTTAATTATAATTATAGTCATATAAATTTCTATGAACTTAAACATAATAGTTTAAATATTATTTTAATTTGACTTATTTAAAAGGTTTTAAAATAATTCTGGAAATTATGCATATTTGCAATTAAATTAAAATATAAATACATACAATTGTCAAGTACTTCTTTCAACTAGTCATGATTCTAATTACAGAAATTTTCAATGTCAGTTACTAAAATGCTAACATTGCGAGTTTACTTTACTGTACTTGCTAATATGTTTATTGTTTTATTTACACAGTGAATTTTCTACTATTCCACAATATCAAATTGATTTGAAAGATGTGTACAAAATTGAAGAAGTGGCTAAACTGATACAAAATGGATATGTTGCCCAGGGATGCACGAGGTTTATTTATGACTTGATGTTGAACTATCCGCCTGAAGTATTTCTGCATTGTCCAACCATTTTAGAAGTAATTTATTATTAATTAAAATTACATATTAAATTATTAGTTAAATATAGGGCAGGGCAAACACAAAGGTCCAATATGACTTTTAGTAATTATTCTGTGAAAACTACACCAACTATACATCACTACAAATGACGCATATCAAATAAACAAATATCGAACTATGTTCAGTAAAATTTCCAGCTAATTCATCATTGTTCAAATGTATTTAAAATTTGATAATTTTCTAAAATTTATTGTATGGTCCTTCTGACCCCATAGGCTGTGTAAAAAAGGACAGCCAGGGGTCAAAAAAGTTGCCTATTTTATTTTTATTTTTAATTTTAAAGAGCTTTATGGAATTACAGCTGCATTATTTAATGAATATGATGAATTTTAATTATTAGATTGAACAACAAAATTAAAAATCATTTAAATATATATTGTTAAACATAATAAACAAAAATCCTAATCAACTCTTATTATAATCATTAATCTTGCTTTGGTAAGTGTTTCTTTTTAATTTACCGTAATCGGATTTAATGTTTCTTGAAATACAATTATTACAAACAAGATAGATACAACTTCTATTTGAAATCCATATTTCAAGGGCATTTTTTTTTACAAAGATAATATCTTCTTACAACTTTTATAGAGAACTGCAATTAGTTGCCCTATTTAGTGCAATGGCTGGTTACATATTTTCTGCCCTCTACTTTAAAATAGTATTGGTGCAATAATATATATACACACATACACAAGCATATATAAAGACAGAACTATGTATCTCTAAATTAAGCTACATCTGAGGGGATAACTCTATCTCTTGGTTCAAAGTGTGCATGTGAGTAAGGGTTAAGTAGAATGGGGCTTAATGGACTGCGGGTAAAAAGATCAACTACATATCCAAAATATAATACACATAAAGGTTTCAAATTGATAAAAAACAATGCTCTGAAAGTTTTAGCTCTTAATATTAATGTTTAGACAGAGCACAATTCAATCAAACTTTGTATAGAAAGAGCATGGAAAAAATTTTAAAAATTTAAAAAAAAATGTTTTAGGTATAACTTAGCGGCAAATTAATGAGTTTTTTTCATTCATTTGTTCGCTAAATTACATCTAAAAAACATTTTTAAAATTTTTGAAAAATGTTTCATGCTATTTCCATACAAAACTTTGATTGAATTGCGCTCTATCTAAACGTTAATATTAAGAGCTAAAACTTTCAGAGAATTGTTTTTTATCTATTTGGAACGATTTGAACCCCTGGGAGCAAGGAAATTCGAAAATGACCATTTTAAGGTTTTCACTTCTGAACTTAAGATAAAGATTAGCCTATTTCCGACACAAGCTTTTTTCCTCTCCATTTACTGCAATAATTTTGTTGATCGTAGGTTGAATAGAGCACATGTGAACAGGATTTGATAAATTAATTCACTTCAAATATAAACTTAAGTAGTAATGTATATTGAATTATTAGTGAGAAAAATGTAATTTAGCTATTAAAATTACTAAAAGCCAGTTAAAATATGGTACGAAATTATAAAAATTATAGGCAACATTATTGAAGCAATTATTTTGAGTAGAAAAATCCAAGGTGTATATATATATATATATATATATATATATATATATATATATATATGTATATGTATATGCATAATATTGTTTTTTTGTCATAACAATTTTTTTTATTATTTTTAGAACTTGCTAATAGTGTTGGAATGTGATAAAGAATCAATAAAATTTGGAGCAATAAACTGTTTAAATACATTTATATTAAGGTTAATTCAACGATCAAAAAATAATTTTACTATTATAGAATGTGTTAGAAATCAAAACCATGATGAATCAGTATCACAAATGGAAATGTTAACAGCTGATCAATTTTGCATAAAAGTTTTGAAACCAGTTTTAAGATATTTTAAGGATGGAGAATATAAGAATTGTCCAGAGGTTAGAAGTGTAATTAGTCTGCTTTCCTAAATAGATTTTTTTGTTATAATGTTATAGTTATATATTATTTATTAGTTATATATTATTATATCATTTAATAGAATTTTATTTTACAGTATATTTCATATGCATTTCAAGAAATCTGTATTAACTTGATAGTATTATTGAAAAATGTTTCCATACCATTAGTCAACGCAGATGAAATAGCGGAAGGAATAGCTACAGTCATTAGTATATTTAGGTAAGATTACTCTGCATAAATATTAGTTACATATATTAATTATGTATGCATATATAATGGAAGAAACCATATTTATTCAATAAATCTTTTTGTTTTCTTTGTAAAAATGAAATCCATAAAAAGTATAAAAAACAGTAAGCTTTTTCTAAATGTTTAATATTGTCATTTTGGTACTAGCTACGTTTTTGTGATCATGCTTTTTTCTATATATATTTTTTTTTTATATAGAACAACAATTTGATCACATAAGGTTAAAAAGGAATGGATTACGTATTTCGAATGGAATAAAGATAAAAATTGGATTTGAACAAATATTTGTTATATATCCTAATTTCTTTTTTTTTTTTTTTAAGAAAAGCACATGCATTTTATATGGCATTTTAAAAAATTATTGATTTTTAGGGTTTGATATTAACGTTTTACATAACAATTTATATTTGTTTCTCATTATAATTATAGTGGCTTCTATGATATATCTGAACAAATGTTTATAAATGTGATGTAAAAACTTTGTATTGCAGGCATTGCAGAAATTCTGTTTTGCGAAATTTATTGTACTTCCAATTCCTATTGGTTGCTTGTGATTTTTGTAAAAATTTCAATAACTCATTGTTGTTGAGTGAACTAGAAGAATGTATTATGGATCCTGTTTTAGAACATTTACATGGTGATGTTCATGCAAGACTTATTTCAGTAGCTTCTAAAATGAACTCACCAATTTTGAATACTTATGAAAACGTAAAAGGCATTTGTCAATTGTTGGATTCTGCTATGGGTAGGATAGTTTTATAAACACAGTGTATTTTTTTATTTGTTTTGTTAATTTAAATAATTAAATTCAATTTGTTTAATTTTTTATTTAATCTTGTAGAAATTCTTAATTTAAATGAACTCAAGTACCATTGTTTTAGTGTTTATTATTCTGCTTGATTGCTATTAACTTATTTTAAATAATTCAATAAGTTATTTTTATTTATTAGTCTGTCTAATAAGATTAATTTTGAAAATATGAATGGAAAATTACGAGAAGTATTTTTCAGATGTGATCAAACACAGAAAAAGTTCGAATACTGAAAATTTAGACTCTTGCATGATTGCTTTGCCTGCTGTTGAAATACTGAATTCATTTACATTAATTGAGTCAATTATCCAGAATTGTTCAAAAATTCTCAATTACAAAAAGAATGAACTTCTGAACGAGGCTACTAGTATGTACTACAAATCTGATGTTTGTTTATGATCATGTGTAGTTGCATTATTATTATTTCAGGCATAATTTTAAAATTATTATCATTCAATGATGAAAAAGTTAAGCTTTGGGTTTACACTTGCATTAATAAGCAAATGAAACAATTCCTAGGTGTGCATAAATCAGCTTTCACTAGCTTACGCACAACATTAGATATAGCTACAGGAATTCCCATAAATTCAGAAATTATTATTGAAATTGCTTGTAGAGGAATTCAGCATCAAAATAGGGAGGTATGTAAAGCTTATTTACACATTTCTGTACTTGTATGGTATCCCTTTCAATTTGGTGCAAAATCATTGCAGATAAAATATGCTAATATAATAATATTTGATGAAATTCATTATTTTCATACCAATAATATTATTGATACTGTATTCTCACTGTTACTTACAGATATCATCTCTTGCCAGTAATATATTAATCATGTTGTTAAAGAGCAATATGACTACAAATCAACGTCACTGGGCATACATTGTAGAACATTTGGTACCAGCATTGCCGATCATTCAATGCATCACCAATAAAGACACTGTGCTAGGTATATTTTTGAGTCGTGCTGTTTAATTGTAATCATAAATGATTTTAACAAAGATTGTGACTACATACACATAGTTTAATTATGCAACCAATGCATATTTATTGTTATGTAGTCTGAATTATGAAATAATAACAAAAAATATTTTTATAAAATTTTACTAATAACTATTTTCTGATCATTATAATAATCTTCGATATATTAGTATTCATTACTTGTTTAAAATTCCTTTGCAAAAGCATTGTTTTTATTAAATTGCTTATTTTTTATTTTATTTGATATATTATTATAGGTCAAAATTTATATGAATTAGTAAATCCAGATGTTGCAAGTAAAGTTAATTTGAGATTTGGTGATATTCTTAAAAGCAATATCAGATTATTATTTTCCAAAGACCCAGAGGTTCGCCAAGAATCTATTTCAAGGTATGAATATAAAAACTTATTAAAGTTATTTGAGAAATACGACAATTTTGATTTGACATGCGGGGCTTAAAGGTCCACGGGTAAAAAGATTCACCATCAATATCGCAAAAACAAGTGAAGTTAAGAATTTTTTAACAACAATTCTTGAAAGTGGCGACCAAAAGACATATAACTTTGATTCTTATGACGTCGCTGGAGATAAACGGAAATGTTTGAAAATCCATGACAAAAGTATTTTTTTTGTGCCACTGTTTAGTTTACGAGATTTTGATATAATATTTAATTACATATATGTACATATATGCATAAGTCATTCAATCGTCATTATGATTGATTATACACCTTTTTTGTGAAAAAGTGTTAGTGTATAATTAATCATATAGGTAATTAATTCTGTTTTTTCAGTAATCTTTTCTTAAAACTTTTTAAAGCTCTCTAATTTCTTAACATTTTCAATATTTTATTATATAATTCACTCATTTAATTTTATCATTTTTATTTTGATTATATTGTCATATTTCTGTACATTATTTTTTTCACAATTTGATTCATTTTATATAAAAAAAATCAACCATATTCTGCTTTTCTTAAAACATATTGTTTGCTTAAATCTTATCAAGATCATGTTTCTTGTCAGATGTCCTGCAGATGGAACTTACCTAGTTCCGAAACGTCGACAGTACATAAATAAAGAAATGGTTTTTTAAAATACTTTTTTATTATTACTTTTTGGATTCTTTGTTCGAAGCTCTACAAAATATTTACAAATCCAATTACCAAATAAAGTGTGTGTCAAAAATCTGAGTGTTGTATTGTTCATATTTAACATTTAATATTCGTTCCACTCATATCACAAAATTTTATAATATATGTATATATATATATATATATATATATATATATATATATATATATATATAATATTTTAGGCTATTGTATTTGTTGGATAAGAGAACAGACTCAGCAGGATTATTACCCAAGTGTTCCATAATAGCAGGAACTTTACATTCAAATCTTTGCATCCATACTGATAACCAAGTTAGAATCGGTGTGAGATCTAAGGAACCACTAAATTTTCACTCAGTGAGTTTCAAATAGTGCTATAAAATAATGACACATGTAAATATGTAATTTAAGTGTATATTTAATTTCTTGCGTAATTTACAAAAAAAAAAAAGTATTATGTTGTTTAAATTACATTTATTTTAGATCCTTGATTTACTATAGTACTTTTATGTTTTAGGTATCTGCTATAAACCCTTTACTCGAAATAATATCAAATGAACATTCAGATCCATGTATTTTAAAATCATCAGTATTACAATTGTCAATCATTCTTGATGATTGTTATTTACATGGAGTATTTTCGACAATTGAAGATATTCAAATGATATTGAATTTATTTCCGAAGGTAATGTGTTATTATTTTCTAATGCATGTTTTAAAACGTTATGCGGCGTCAGGTAGAACTTGTAGGTTGGTTAAGTCTACTTCCTGCAATAAAAAGTTACTTTGTGTCACTTTTTTGCCCAATTATGAGATTTATATGAATCTGTCTGTTTAATTCTTTATTGTTTATAATGCATTAACATTTTTTACAGATGCTAGCACTTGATGGTTTTAAAGACTATTCTCATACTTTAATTGCTGTGGTTAATATTTTACGCAAGCTTTGCTCATACAATAAAGTTTTAAGAAGTCATTTGTCTCAGTGCGATGATGTATTAACATATATTCTTAGAGGTACAATTGGTATTTTAAAATTCCTAACTTAAAATTCTTAACTTAAAATTCTTCAAAAGTAAATATTCATAATTATTTTGTTTTGTTACATATTTTGTTATTTTGCTATTACTAATTTTTAGCGCTTTTTCTTCTATATGAGAATCCGCAGCTTCGATTGGATTGTTCACAATTATTGTTTTTGATATGTTGGTCTACTTGGTTGATAAATGATTCACATGGCTTATCAGGAAATTTTATATTAGAAAATATGCATCTTCCTTGTAGTATATCATATCATGATCGAGAGAGCCCTCATGCACTCCCTTCACTGAAAGGTGTGTACCTACATATATTTTTTTAGTAAATTTTAACTGCATTGTAAAAACTTATTATTATACTTTTTTATTCATACTTTTTACTTAATGAAATAATTGCTATAAATTGAGAGACAAATATTGAAAAATGTGGCCTATACAAACATATTTTTGTTGGACATATGATTGAAACTAATTAATGAATTTCATATATAATTTTATTTGGAATGTATATATGGTTAGGAGTATAGATTTAAGTAATAACTAGTTGGTACTGGTATTTTGCTTTGAGGCAAGTTACATGAAGTTCCCGATATGTGTAAATAATCGACTTAATCAATAAAAACTGAATTCATTTAAGTATTCCGAGTAGATTTATTACACATCATCAAATTTTCACAAATTAATAATTTTTATAAATGAATCAGTTTCTGTAGCAATTTAATGGTTTAGTATGTTGATTAAGAACAAGTGCTCTATTGATATACCAAGTAAATTGTCTAATTTTAATTTTAACGTCAAAAAAACTACTCATTTTCTCAAACTTTATTGAATTTTAAACATTAAAATACTTTATGTAAGGCCATTTTATTTCAGTAAGTTTTATAAGACCATGATATATATTGCCAAATAAGTTCCATAAACATCGGCTTAAATTTTTTTTTCAACAGTTAATTACAAGAAAACGGCTGGGTAGATTTTCACCTAAAACTAATCAGTATCATTCCCAACTAATATCTATCAAGTTGTTTTTGATTTTTTAAAATCGTTTCGGTAGTTTGAGCTTGAATGTGAACGAAAAGTTTAACACTTTTTTCCAAATTACAAAAAAGCGGTTCGGCTGATCGTCGCACAAAACTGTGAAACGATAATCCTCATTGAGATACATCAAATGGCTTTTAAATTTCTGAAATCGGTTCAGACGTTTTTGAGAAAACGTCGATTTACGGCAAAAATCTGTTCACATACACATACAAACACACGCACTTACACACATACACATACATGCACACACACTTACACACACATACACGTACACACACGCACACACAGATACTTGTTCTAAATTTGGTCTCATTCGATTCAGAATGGCTTGTAACGTCGAGAAAACATAAAATTGGTGAATCGGATTTTTTGATAAATATATAATCTTCTCCTTCAGGAAGTTAATAAATAATCATTATATTAAATTGTATTTTTTGTTTAAATTTATAAAAGAGACTAAACTTTATCTTACTTATACATAGACAAAATGTTGGATACTGATTCTGTCAACATGTTCATAAAATACTTTGTGCATTTGAGATGGTTCAATAACAAAACCCAAATTTCGGAAAACGAACTTGCAAGTTTTCGTGCTGATATTAATGGGGAATTATTGCTGAATGAACAAGAACTGGCCTACCTCACATCATCAGGTTGTTCGAATATGTGGATGCATTACTTAGATGTAATCAAACATGCGAGGTCTCATAAAGAAGTGAAAAATGCTCTTCATGGTTTTTCAAGGTATTATTAATATGTATTTTTTATGTTGGTGATTAATAATGTAAAAATTATTAACATTTTTGTCTTGTAATTGTTTCGGCATCGAAAATAGTTTTATCGTAATATTAATCAAAATCGATTATTGTTACTTTAAATGAGCGTTACATTTTAGTCATGCCGCATCGTCACATCCAGAGTAGTTAAAATAAAAAGAAAAATTTAATAATATTTGGACAAAAATAGTCAATATCATCATATGTCATCATTTTTATAACCATTTACTATAATAATCGCAACCGTCGCAAAGGGTATCGTCGTGTTTCTATACAGAATTGACCGCACCCTGGTATTTAAATGATTTTGATGCCATTTTATATGTCTCTTCGAAAAATTACAGTATACCAATTTACAACTCCTTATCCCATCATTTGGCCGAGATATCAGTTTTTACACTGATCTTGTCTATGTTGTTCATAATAAATAATGTGAAAAAATTATTTGTTAGTGCATGAAAAGATGAAAATAATTTTTCATTTTCCCTTTCCTACCAGTGCTGCTCTTTGGACTACTTTTAAATTAGCATCATTTGAAAGCATGTATTTATATCTTGTATATAAGTATATTCATTAGTCATAATAAAAAATCCAACGCGCTGAATAAAAACAATAATTATTATTATTTATTATTTTTGAAAAAAGTGGCCACTTTCACATGTTTTTACAGATATCTTGGCCAAATGATGAGATAGGGAGTTGAAAATTGGAATATTCTATTTTTTCGAAAAGACTTATAAAATGGCATCAAAATCATTTAAATACCAGGGTGGGGCCAATTCTGTATGGAAACACGCCCATACCCTTTTCATAAGTCGAAACAGCGAGGTTTTCTCTTTTAATGAAAATCATGTTGTAAAATATATGTTTCAGCATATCTAACTTGCAATACCCAGAAGAACCTCAAATTCAGCAAATAACTGTGTATTTAGAAAAGTTTTTGCACATTTTACCAGCCAGTAAGTCAGATAAGCAATTGTTTATTAGTATATTGAATTTTATAAAGAAAACAGCAAAGCATGATGAAGCTGGGGGTATGTTTTTGTATATAAAAATTGTGCAAATTTAGATTTTTTTTTTTTAATAAAATAAATTTATGTCTAGGTCGTGTATTGCTCATTTGGGCAGTAAGAACAGTTCGTGATAACTCAGGACCAATAATTAGTATGATAAGGAACTATAAAAATTTGTGAGTTATGAATTTTATATTGTGTTTCTTATGTTAATTTAATATGACAAATATCTTATGGTTAATATTTATGTTTAATTGTTTTTATAGGGAAAATGTCGAAGACAACTTATATGTGGAGGTATTAATAACAATTAGTTTCCTTTATAAAGAATTTTCTAAGCTAGCAGATTCAGAACTAGACGTATCATTGTCAACAAAATCTGAATATAATAACGAATTAGATTTAAAACTTATTCAAATATTTAATGAAAAGGAAATTCTTACAAACTCAACAGGTGTATAAACAAAATGCATTCATGGGATTTGGTATATTGAATGCATTATAATGTCAATATTATATTTTATTTTAGTAAATTGTTCAAGATTACTCCTTTGCATATGCTATATTGACTTGGTGTGCATAAAAGATTTGCATATTACTGTGTTAATAAAAAAAATTATAAGCTGGTTATGGTTATTAAATGATGATCGAATTCGTAAATCAAAACAAATTGGTAACAATGATAACTGCATAGAATCAATGAATGGAGATTTAAATAAAAATCAATGTTTCACTAGTGTTTCTATAATCATGATGCGATCACTAGTAACTACATTATGTAATGCAATTCGATATATGAAGATAAATTCTAAACAAGTGAGTAATAATTGTATAATTTTATTAGTTTTTGCTACAATGATGTTTAATATATTTTTATTAATTGAATTGAATTCAAATGAGTGAAAATTCTGAATACATTTAAAAGGAATATTTTATTCATTTATTTATTTATTTATTTATTATTTTGGCATGATATTTCTAAATTATTTCATACAATGAATGGAAATCTAATATTTAAGCAAATATTTATTTTGCCAATTTTAATCCTTTTTTTATATTTGTTCATGTATTACTAATAAACCATAATTTAATTTTTGATGTATTACTGATGCACATTCAAAGTGCAATTGTTTTATTGGTAAATGATATTGAAAGATATAAGGCAAATGAATTATATAATGTATAATTATATAGGATGATGTATTAATAGCATAAAATTTGAGTAATAGAATCTTATATTTTTCCTTAATTTGTACTTAATTGACATTATTTTATATAATTAGTTATTTAGAATATTTATATTTAAATGAATTTACATTGGAACTAAAAAAACATTTTATTTTCAGTCAAAATCTGTTTGGTTTGAAGAGTTTGATAAATCTGTGACTTTGCTAAGTTCTCTTTGTACATCACCTGATATATTTGTGAGATCATGTTCATATCAAATACTGTCTGGTTTATTATATACAGGAGAAGGCTCGCTATTTATCATGAAAAGTTAGTATATAATTTATTAATGTAGTATATTTTTGGAATTAGTCTTTGCAAATATATTAAATTTCTATTTGTTTTTATAGAGTTTACATTTCACTTTGGAACATTTTGGTTTACTTGTCTCAATACTTTAGTGGATAACAATGAACCCATATTAAGTAGATATCAAAGTGGATGCTGTATTGTTAATTTGTCAAGTCACATTGGAATTGATATTAAAGAAACTCTTTTAGCGTTTGCTACAGAACATTTATTAGATGTATGTATCAATGTATTTTAGATCAATAGTGATCTTTAGATTCTATAATAATATTAATATTTTTAACATTTCAGATAAATAATAAGTATGATATAATAAAACACTTGCTTGATATTACCGAGTTTTCAAAGTGTGTTTATGAATTAATGTCATCCTTATATGTTGGATCATCAGGTAACTTTTTTAAATCATAAATTTATACATTAAACATTTATATTATGCTAATTATTTTATTTTATTTGATTTCAAATTCTGGATTAAAAATATAAAGAGGTTTGAGATAGATTTTGTTTCTTGATATTTGATTTTTTTCAAAAATAAAAATAAAATAATTTTTCAAACAAATCAATTACTTGTAAAACAAACTCCAAATGAATAACATGGCTTTATGAGAAGAGCTTCTTTTTAAAAAATAATTATTTTATTTTTATTTTGGTTAATTTAATATACATTAAAATTGTCATATGATTTGATGTTATATCAATTGGTGTTCATATATTTTCGGGTGTTTTTTTTTTTTCATTTTTAATTTGTTTGTATGCATTGAAAATGCATACAAATTGATGCATTTTGGGTCAAATCAAGACCCGAAATGTATGATATTACAATAAAAACATTTTTCTACAATAAAATCATTTTAATTATTGGATGGATGCTCAAGAACAACTTTATCATATATAAATATATATATATATATATATATATATATATATAATTTCTGGACAACTAAAATCTCCCATTCCTATTCATAATAATGCATGGCTTTTAATTTGTATTTTTACATATTAAACATAATTAATTACTGTATTTGTAGCTCGTTTTTCTATTGCAGATTCTTCTTATGTATGTAGAGAAGATTATGAAAAAACAAGAAATGACATTTATGAGGTATTGTTTTTACATTTTATTTATTTTTATTCATAATATTAAATATATTAATTATAATTAATTCAACTTTTTTCAACAAATAGGAATGGGGAGCTGTAATGCCTGATTTAATTAGAGTATTTGTTTTATTTATGCATAATTTAACTTTTATATCACCCAATATTGTAGATTATTTATTTGAAAGAAAAGTTCTGAGCAATTTATTAAGGTGAGAAAAATAATATTTAACTAATTTAGAAAATATATTTTGACAAAATGCGTTCAAGGCATATTCACATAATATGCTTTGAAACCTAATATTTTGAATGCTAAGGTATATCCATAAACTAACTTTCACATTTACTTTCTATTATGAGTCGAGTTGTACTTTTACATTTCGTGATGGTTATATGAATATATTTGGCATCTTATTATTTACTTGTTATTTCTTGATTTATAGATGTGTGCGTGTTGAAGTATCAGCAATGGATGTATCTGTTGAAAAATTGATTACAGCTATCTGCAATATGTTCAGCTGTATGATCACTCTGAACAAAAACATTGGCACAAGTTTGGTGATGGATCCTGGATCCATGTACTGTTTAACAGCTATGTTGGATACTTCTAATGGTATGGAATAAAATATTGTAATTGTCAATTTGATAATATGATAAAGAACAAACCATTTCTTTGTAATTATATGTTGAAAGTGTTATACAGTAGGACTCCAATTATCCGAATTAATTGGGACCGGGACCCATTCGGATAATCAAATATTCGGATAATCGGAGTTTTTTTTTTAAAAATTGCCATTGGAGAGAAAAAAAAGTTACGATTTGATATTACACTATTTTTTTTATTGAATTAAATGAAAGAAACATATGATATTTTCACATGTTTTAAATATAAATAAAATGTTCTTATGTACAAGTTTAGAAATAAAAATCATTGTTTTTTAAACATCTCCATCAATGTAAGCTGTTTTGCGGTCTTCAACCGTTTTCCGGCTTTGCGGGTGGAAGAATAATAGCGCACTTTGACTTTTTTTGGACAATTTTTTTTCTGAAAGTGATTCGGATAATCGGCGATTCGGATAGTCGGAGTTTGGATAATTGGAGTTCTACTGTACATATCGGGAAGTTAATGCAACTTGTCTTAAGGCTAAATGCTGCTTATAACTAGTTGAATAGTTAAAATAACTCAAACGATTTTAATTTACCGTTTAATTATAAAGAAACTGGTAGACCGATTTTTTCTTAATATTAATTAATTGCCAGCCACATTCAATTGCTCATGAACAAGTTTGTATAATATAGTTGGTTTTTATAATTGTCTATCGAATTTGTTAAACTATAACTTTTTATTACAGGTTTTAAACATAAGTTGTACTGTGGAATATACCATTTGTTTTCTCAGTTGGCAAAATTTCAGGCTGGCTTCGATGCTATAATACTTGCAATTCAACAATGTGATGAAAACAGCTTTCTCAAAACATTATGTTTCTCTCTGTCACAGAGTGATAATGAAGGTTAGCCAAAAAACTTAAACATATAACAATTTATTTATATATTATTTGTGTCATGCATAAGCAATGCTATAATTATTAATGCTGGTGAATATTTGAGTTTATTGGTGGAATTACAAATGTTTGAACAATTGTTAATTGATTAATTATGCATGAATCTCATGTTTATATATGCATAATGAATGCATATGATGAGGCACTATGTTTAAACACAACTGGCTAAAGTTTAGTGCGAGATATTTCTGTTGCTTCTCACATTATAATCTGAGCAAACTATTGTATCAATATATATCAATTTGAAGCTTTGGAACTTCTAATCTATATTTTCTGGTAATACTATTGTGTCTTGATACAAAGGGATATTTTAATAATCTAATTTAATATTTTAACCGATTTCAAACATGAGCATATAAGTGATCATAATCAAGGCATGAAGCCTATTATTATGTCTTTTATTAATGTGTATATGTGTTTTTAATTTATTTACCTTTCTAAATCAGTTCATATATTTTCAGATCTCAAAATATGCAGTTTTGTTTTCATGGTTAATATACTTCAAACCAGAATAGACGGCAAAGATTTTTACCACATTTTGGACAATGCTGAGTTTAAAGATGAAAATAGAGTATGCACGTACCGAGTTAGGATTATTGAAGTAATGATTGAAATAATAAAACGTCAATTCTTAGTGAATGAAACTGTTGACAGTAAGTGGAGATGCAATTCTTTATAAAATGTATCCTTTTGTATCTGACTTATTTTAATCTTCTTTTAGAGAAAAATTGCTTATTTGAGGTATGCATAAACTCTCTAAGCATGTGTATGTATATGCTGCAACATGTTTGCAATGAATTGAAGGAATTGCATAAATTGTTATTGCAGCGATTACATGCATCATTACAAAATTTATATGATAAATGTGCAGAGAATTTGAAAAAACTGTTGGATAAAAAGGTAATTAAATAAAATATTTGACTGTTTTTAGCTCACACACACACACACATATATATATATATATAATATATATATATATATATATATATATATTAGGGTGGTCCTTAAAATGGTCATTTTCAAATTTCCTTGCTCCCAGGGGCTCAAATGGTTCCAAATAGATAAAAAACAATTCTCTGAAAGTTCTATCTCTTAATATTAACGTTTAGATAGAGCGCAATTCAATCAAAGTTTTGTATGGAAATAGCATGGAAAATTTTTCAAAAATTTTAAAAATATTTTTTAGATGTAATTTAGCGAACAAATGAAAAACTCATTCATTTGTCGCTAAGTTATATCTAAAACATGTTTTTTAAATTTTCAAATTTTTTTCCGTGCTCTTTCCATACAAACTTTGATTGAATTGCGCTCTATCTAAACGTTAATATTAAGAGATAGAACTTTCAGAGAATTGTTTTTTATCTATTTGGAACCATTTGAGCCCCTGGGAGCAAGGAAATTCGAAAATGACCATTTTAAGGACCACCCTATATATATATATATATATATATAACATATATATATATATATATATATATATATATATATATATATATATATATATAACAGATATTTATTAATTAATTATTAAATTTCGACATTCATAAGAACAAAAATTGCCTGTAGAGTTTAACTAAATTGATATCAATTTGCAAATAATAGTGAGTTTTATTGTTTTTAAAACGAAATGAAAGTATTTTTTTAAAATTGCGTTTATTAATATTATTTTTGAAATCATTACTGTATTTATTAATTTTGCAGAGTCATAATTTATAGTTAAAAAAAAAATTGTTTCAGAGGCAAGCAGAAGCCGAAGAAATCAAATTGATCATAAACTTGTTATGTGCTTTTTATACAAATATGAATTTCAAAAACAATGGTTTAATTTTTGAAAAAACTGATAAAATTGGAAAACTGAGTATTTGTACTATCATACAGAAATTGATACCATTTTGTTCAGCGGATGATGCATTTTTAAATATGTGTCTCGAATGCTTGCATAATTATACGGATCATTGCTTATTAGGTGAATATTAAATTTTTTAAATTGAAATTCTGTTTTTTTATGCTGCCAAATATTATCAATTTCTTTTGTCATTAAAGCGTGTAGAGATATGACGAATTCACCTGGAGTATCTTTTTCACGTCTTGCGGGTCTGTCTACAGATGACAATAAAGCTAAGTGCATGCTTTCAATGATTATTAATTTAGTTATACAAAATAATACAAAAACACACAAGAAAAGTATTATGAAGTTATTGTTGTCGATCTTAAAAAACGCTTGCTATGCAGTGGAAGGCAGAGTAGCAGTTTACAAGGTCGGTAAATTATAATTGGGATATATATATATATATATATATATATTTGTTATAATTTATTTATCATTTAACATTTTAGAGTGAGGTATTATCCCACATTAAATCCAAAACACCCAAAAGTTTACCAGACAATTTTATATTGTGGATAGATTTTTTGCTGTGTTTTTCCAAATATTCTGAAGGACAGCTGAGTATTGTCAAAAACAACGAGTTATTATCCACATTGATTGTTTCTTCTGAAAATAAATCTAAATTAATAAGTAGCAAATCATTAGCAATTTTGAGAAACATATCATTTAATACTAGCAACAAGATCGTTCTTCTAAATTCAAGTAAGTATACTTAAATAACTGTTGTAACTCTATTGAATAATTTAATATTTTTGTAAAGAGGGTAAAATTACTTAATTAATTGAAGCACTTGCAATTTAAAATATATTTTCATATATTTCTTAACGTTTATTAATAATTTATCCTCATGTTTAATTTGCCAAAGCAAAAGGCACTGACGTTTCCAAATATTTAAATACTCATAACTGAAATATAGAAAATTTTTGATAAGATTTATTTTGAATTTGCTAAGCAAAGAACAACAGCGTCTAAATAGATTTTTATATGCGAACTCCACACAAAATTTGTCTGATTTTGTGATATATTCAAAGTTTATTTCGTTACAGTGGATTTGTTGATACTTAATGAGAAATTGGAAGTAAACATTTTTGTATAGTGTATAAAAATACCAGTTGTAGGGGTATGCTTTATAGAATTCATTTAGTCAATACAGGGTGATAGTATTGATCGTAACTATCATGAAGAAAGTCAGAAAAAACATTTGTCCAGTGTAGTTTGGAAATTATGAGCTTAAGTAGAGCCTAGATCTTTGATGAAAATGTGACAATTTTTTGGTTATTGTGGTTAATTTTTATCAATTTTGTTCATTTAAACTTTGGATCCGTAATCATAAATAGCATTTCTAAGACCAGGGACAAAAATAATGACACAATTACCAAGAATTAAACCTCTTTCTTGAACTATGAATTTGATTTTTTCTAAATTAATCAACTTTGAAAGGCCGCCTTTCTTAAAAACAAAAGTACTAAATTAAGTGCATTTAATCATACGAATAATGATAACATACTTGATAGTTTCATAATAAAAAAAGAGTAAGAAATTAAAAACCTAAATAACATGATTTGTGCTAATACATTTTAATCACAATAGGTGCATTCTTGTTCAAACCATAGTTCAAATGTTTGCCATACTTTGAACTGAATGCGAGAGAAATGTAACTGCAAAAATCGTATTATTTTTAAATTCCCGTAGGGTAGTTATGGTAATGGGCCGAAAATCGAAAATGAAAATTTTTGCATATCTTCACATGTTGAAGGTTTCTGAACATTTTGGCATACCTCAGAAAAAATGGATGTGTGTTTTGTGTGTCCGCATTTTTTCGTTCACGTTTTCGGGGGCACGGATCAACCGATTTGAATGATTCAAGAAACATTCTATTCCTATTGATTGGGAGATGTGCTGTTTAGTTTTTGGTAAAGGCAGGTCCAGCCGTTACGGAGATACGGAGCAAAGAGTGCAGAAAATAGAAATCGAGATTTTCAGAGAACGGAATATCCGATTTGAATGATTCAATTCAAAAAATTGAATCAAAACATTCAATTTGTAATGATTGGAAGAAGTTGTGTTTAGTTTTTGGCAAAGGCAGGTCCAGCTGTTTTGGAGATACCGAGCTAAATGGCAGTTAAAATAAAAAACGGCACTTTTTGAGAGCTAAGCATCCGATTTGAATGATTCAAAAAACTTTGTGCTTGTTTTGACAAAATAATTGCATTTGGAAAATTGCAGTTCTTCAGTTCACTTAATTCTTATAAATATTAGAAAATGTTGTAGTATTTATAATAATTTATTTCAAAACATTTAATATTCTTCGAACATTTCGTTACGGTACGGTAAGTTCCAGTAATTTGCCCTAAGGCACGATGCCATTCACAACTAGTTACGTTTTCATTTTATACTCAATTTCTTTTATTATGGAATAATCCATTTTACAAAATTCTGATTAAATGCACCAACTTTTGATGGAACTTGCCAACACACATTATTGCGTTTTTTAACAAAAAAAATAAGCCTCTAAAAGTCGTTCAATTTTGAAAATTTCAAATCCAAAGTTCAATAAAAAGTCTCAATTCTTGAAAACATGGGACAAAATTGATAAAATAATAACCACAATAACCGAAAAATGGTCACATTTTCACCAAAGAACTAGTCTGTACTTAAGCTCATAATTTTCAAACAACAATAATTTTCAAATAATAATATTTTAATTAACAATATTACTAAAGAAAATTGGAAAATTTTTCTAAGTACCTGTAGAAAAATCGTCGCGCGACCTATGAGAGGAACTCTGCGCGAACAGTTTGTGCCCGCTTAGTGCGAATAGTTGGTGCACTCAATATATCGGAAAAGGATGACTCGCTTTATCCTTTCAATTTGATAATAGTCACGGCTTGCCAAATGGACCAAAGCCAATCGCTGTGTTTCGATTCAGGATGAAATCGAGTAAATCGAAATTTGAAGGGTATGGACCGTTACATACAGATTCAGTCATCGTCTGGTATTTGAGTTTTTCCATATTTCGATAGGTTACACCTTCAGAAATAACATACTATAATTTTAAATCGATATCCTAAAAAGTTTTTGAGTTACAGCCATTTAAAAGAGTATATATATAGTATATACTATATAGTATAAAGATTTTAAACGCGTTTTTCTCGAAACAGCATTTTTCGAATTTGCTGGAGTGATTACTCGGAGACAAATGATCCGATCGCTATCAATTTTTTTTTGCATCTCCTCTATATAGTTCTCCATACGATGATCCTCCAGTTTTAATCTGATTAAAAATCGAATTTTGGCAGGCCAAAAACGACAAAAATTTTGGGAATAATTTAACTTTTTTTTCAACATGCCGCCATTTTGCCAATTTTTAATATTTTTTTTGTCCGAGGGCCATCGTACAGACAATATATTTTAGTTTAAAGAGATTTTTTTAAATTATTTATCAACGGAGAAGGCTGCAATCACTCCAGCAGTGGCGAATCTTTTTTTTTGGCGCCGCCGGAGATCGTGTGTCATTTCAAAAATATTTAATATTTTATTTCAAAAATTTTATTGTGTATAAATGTACTCTCAATATTTTAAATAGACGGATTCACTAGTTTTTCTTTTTTTTAATTCATAAAAATGGCCTTTATTTAGATTGTCAAACTAGGTGTGCACCTTAACGATTTTTACGTTCATTTTATATATATTATATATTATATTATATTTTTACGTTCATTTTCTCATTGAAAATATGTGAATATTATAATTTTGAAAATATGTGAATATGTGAATATGGCCTCTTTCTTCAGTCTGTCAACGTAAAACAGTAAAAGATCTCGGAAAACAATTAACTTAATATTTATAACATATGATGTTAAATAATTATTCGCTAGTACTAAAATGTTCGTTATATTCTGGCAGTAGCGATATTCATTATCACTTCCTGAAGTTTGATTGCTTTAAAATATGAGTATAAAAAAAATGGCATTGCAGTTGTTTGAAATAGCTTTTAATTGACATTACTCGAAAGTCTATAGATTTTTCATGTAACACTCGAAATACTCATCAGCATAATATAAATTAATAAAACAAATATAAAAACCTATTTTAAATACTGCATTTTCTTTGTAGATAAAAATTAAAATTAGAAATTTATTTTAGTTGATGCGATAAACATTCTATTTTTATTTAAATTTTATTCAAACTAGCTTATACAAATATACACACATAAAATTAAGTTTTGATCATCAAACTTGAAATTCCCATATTATCCACATATTTCCGTTATAGACATTGACTTTTTGAAATAATATTATCGTAATCGAGTTTAGAAGTAATCAGATGTTAATTCAGAAAGATCATTTTTAATATTGCATTCGAATGATTACAAGTGTGTCATGTGCTAATAGTATTATTGTTTTAGAAACTTATATAACGGCCACTATTGCTGCGTTGCGAAAAAGCGACTTGGAAGAACTATTGTGCGCTGTTATAATTATATGGAATTTATCAGCAAATAATCAAAGAGCGAAATACGTAATGAAATCGCATAATGTGCATGATCAAATAATCGAAATGAACATAAAATTTCAACATAGATCAGAAGACTCAGTATGTTTGAATATTCTTATGGCGCTGCTGAATGGTTTACAGCGCATTTTAAATGTGGGCAAAAATAGTTAATCGTCAAAATCATACGGTATGCAATTCACAATGTGTTCATATATTTTAAGCAATCATGTTATTAATGTTATTTATTGCTATTTATATTGATTTTTATTTTAGAGTTTTAAACTTTGAAATATATTTGTAATTCTATAATAAAAAATATGTGAGACGTTATTAATTCATTTAGTAGTGTATTTTGGTATACGACATTATATTATAATGAATCAATATTTTCAAATTCTGATTTATAATAAACATTACTTTAGTTCAAAAGTAAAATATTCTTTGATCCATTTAATAAGTAAGCAATATTTATAGAGATTTAAAGTAGCAGTAATTGTTTGAGCACATGATTAATTTTTAGCTTTATTTAGATCGAAAATGTTTTTTACAACCTGGCATTTCATTTACTTTCCGACCTATAATTTATGTTGCCCTACTATTTACACTAGTAAGCAATATTGATTGTCTATATACTGTTCATATGTTGAAAATCTGTCAATAAAATAAATTATACTTTATAAAAAATTGATGTATGCGCACGTAGTGTAAGTGTAACGATGAGAAAAAAGTACAAACTATAGATAAGAAACAATAGATACAAAAGTACAAATATATAAGCATACAGATAAAATATAAATAAACTAGTGGTGTATGGCATCGTGCCTTAAGGCAAATTGCTGGAACTTCCCGTATTGTAACGAAATGTTCGAGAAATATTAAATGTTTTCAAATAGATTATTATAAATACTCTGTAACATTGTCTAATAAATTGAATTGCCAAGTTAAAATTGTTTATTTAAAATATATAAGTGAACTTTAACCAATTAAATACGTGCGCCCGAAAACGTGGACGAAAAAATTGAAAAAAGTGGAAAAAATGCGGACATACAAAACACACACACACACATCCATTTTTTCTGAGGTATGCCAAAATGTTCAGAAACCTTCAAAACGTGAAGATATGCAAAAAATTTCATTTTAGATTTTCGGCCCATTATGACTATAACTACCCTACGGGAAGTTAACAAGTATAGGTAAATAATAGTATATAAATTTTTATGTAAAATAAGTACATATATATATGCGCCGAAAGCATACATATGAATATAATTAAATAATAATGTATATATGTTTACGTACATTTTAGCAAAAACATTTTCATCACACAAAATATTAATGCGTCGTACTGTCGCGCATTTAAAATTCGTTTCTCGTACACGAAATGACATTTTCCCGTAAATACGCACACACACACACACACACACACACATATATATATATATATATATATATATATCTGTAGTTTATTTGAATTTGGATTCAATTGTGAATATACACAATACAATTTTCCAAACTTTGAATAAACCACTTTTCATAGGAATATAATATTTTAGTATGTTAGATAAGACTATAGAAAATCATGTCAAGTTTAAACATCAAAAACAATTTTTAAAATAATTATTAATCACGAAAAAACGGCCCGACCGATCTTTACCTAAACTACACTTAACTAATAAGCACGATTCCCACAGTATTTGAATTTTTCAAAGTATAGTGATATTTATATACTTTCTAATGTTAAGTTTTCTGATGGCCAGATTTTTTCAAAATCTATATGTGTTTATGAATTTCCCTTAGGAGAAGTTAATGTTTTTGCTATAAAATTCATCTTGCTAATTTTATATTTAACGACGCTACAAGTCACTCTGCATCATTTGAGGACAAAATTGAAAAAAATGTGTATGTAAGTGGATATTAGACCTTTCGTCGAAGTTTACACAAAAACGGCTGCACTGATTTAAAAAATTTTGGTCAATAATGAAACACGATAAGGACTTGCATTGAATAGTTTTTCGTGAGGTAAATTTTTTTAAAATTAGCCGATTTTAAAAATTTTAAAACTCAAACTTTGGCTCATACTTTTTCCAGATTTGGTCTCAAACGATTCAAAATGACTCGAAACGTTCAGAAGACAAAGTTAGCAACTCGGCAATTTCTAGCAGTTATAAACCGTTTTTCACATTCTATACTAAACATTACTAGAAACGTATAATTGAAACAATAAAGGCGGTAAAAAAATAAATTTAAACAAATACAGGGTCCGGCAAAAATAATTGGTGAATTTTCAAGAAGGTTTATAATATATTAAAGTTTATTAGTGTAAAATAATATCTTCCAAATAGTATCCTTGGTTTGCTTTACAGAGAGTTAGAATATTTCTGAATATCACGCGTTGTCATTTCAGGCCCCATCTATGCCATTTCAACATAATCTATATTATCAACTTAATCTGAATTGCTTTAAGCAAAATTTTAATTTATTTAAAAACAAAATATATATTTATTACTGCCAAACTCCTTCCTAGTCATCCTTTTTCTTCTAATTTTATTCAGAAAATCGTATAGTGATTTATTTTTCTCCAAATTATACCATACTGTGGCAGAAACAAACCACAGTAAGGCCCTTTGCTTTTCAATATTTTTTATTTTGATTTTAAAAATATTTTTAATGTCCATTTTTTCTAAGTCTATCCCACAAGTTGTTTTGATTTTTTTCGTGGTCTATTTCCAAATTGTTGCAGCCATTCCACATTCTTGTATTTTATGTTGAATTGAATCATTTGTTTGGCAAAAATTGCATTTGTTATCAGTTGTTATCTTATGCTTTAATAAGCGGTCTTTTGTTGCAATTTTTTCATTTAATACAAGATATGTTTTGGACCGCCATAAAGTAGGAATATATTTATTAGAAATATTTTTCCAAGTTATATTCTAATTCAGATCTGGGTATTTCATTTCAATTGGATTTATAATTATAATGTTATTCAATTCAGAATAAATATGTTTTGTTGTGAGATTTATATCATTATATTTTATCACCATCTTTATAATTTCTCTGTATACTGTGGGAATTTGAATTATGTGATCTCGATTGTTGATTTTTAATGTATAATTCAATATTAAAATTTTGTTTTCGAAATTTTCTCCATTTATGATTTTTATAAAGTTCCTGGTGATAAGTGCATCTGCTTTGTTCTCTACATTAATGTGTTTACCTATAGAAAAAAGTCACATGGTGTCTGATCGGACGAGAGCGCTGGTTATGGTACTGCGGTGTGAAATAATGCTTTCGGGAAACATCTGATTTGACCTTATCTGTGAAAAGTGGATCCGCATTATTGAAACCATATCTTTCCATTGTGTTGCTCTAATTTAGATTGCTCGAAAAGCTGCAATATGTGAACATAACGAGTGGAGATTACTGTAACAGCCGTACCATTCCCTTTATTGAAATATGGTTTTCATACTCAAAAAAGCAGACACCATCGAAAAATGACGCATTAACACGTTTTTGAAAATAATTGCTATCAAAATTATATTAATTAGTGTACTCACAGAGCCCCAATACATTTTTCTACCCTCATACTTAACGAAATAAAGGTTGTCGGAAATTCATCCACTATTTTTGCCTGACCCTATTGTATTTGAACAATATTACGCAAATAATTTACTGAAAACTGTAAAATCCGAACATCGAACAATGCCAAGTGCTCTCGAACGATCATCTCAATGTCTTTAAATAGGTCTTCAGTTTGGTCAGTCGTCTACCTTCCATGTGGTGAACATCATGTCAAATCAGTGCCAGTGTCAACGTGCACGCGCAGAACAACGAATCGGAAATAATGAATATATTCAAATAAAGATTAGTGTAATTAATATCAGTAATTTAAAAAATATTTATTTTAGACATGCAATATTGATTCACATATTTATTTGTTGATAAATATGCACGCGTTCGATTTTCATGATGGATTAAACATTTACCATAGATTTCGTTATAAAACACCAAGGATTTTGTAACTATCAAACATTTTATGCTTATCCTGTCGGCAGTGACAATGATTTTCACTTGGAAATATAGATAGCAATATGTTTCCAAGTGAAAATAGCCCTTACCCGGTATTGCTGCACCAATAAAATATTCGCCCTACAGCAATTGTAATACTAATATATCGTACAGATATTGAGTTGCCATCTGTCAAAGAGACTAATATCAAGTCAAAACTAGTGGTGTGTGGCATTGTGCCCTAAGGGAAATTGCTGGAATCTACCGTACCTTGATAGAATATTCGAGGAATATTAAATGTTTTCTAATAGATTATTATGAATAATGTAACTTTCATTATTCTTATAAAAAGTAGATAAACAACAATTTTAATCAATCGAATTTAAAATGAAAAACATTGCCTAATATTTCTAAGTAATATATAAATTGAATTGCAAAATTAAAATCATTTATTTGAAGTATATAAGTGATGTTTAGAACTTTAGCTACAAACAAATATACAAAAATATATATATAAAAAAAAATCTTCACCCAAAAGCAATCGTTTCGTCAACGCAAGCAGAAAGTTTTCTAAATCATTCAAATCGGATGCTTAGTTCTCTCAAAAACAGCCATTTTTTGCACATTTATCTCCGTATCTCTACAAAGGCTAGACCTGCCTTTGCTAAAATCTAATTACCACTTATTCCCATCATTATAAATCGACCGTTTTTTAGATCATTCAAATCGGTTGATCCGTTCTCTTAAAAACTGACATTTTAGCACTTTTTGCTCCATATCTCCAAAGCCGCTGGAACTGTCTTTTTCAAAAACTAATCAGCACATCTCCCTACCAATGGGAATCGATTGCTTTTTTTTAAATCGGTTCATCCGTACGCTTAAAATCGTCGACGAAAAATTGTCTCGACACACATACACACACATCAATTTTTTCTGGGTTATGCCTAAATATTCAGAATCTTCTGAAACGTGAAGATATGCAAAGATTTTCATTTTCGATTTTCGGCCCATTATTATAACTTAGGGAATTTAATATAATAGCAATGCACAGAGATCAAAGTCGTAGACTTACTGTTTTGTTATTTTTGTACTATACCCTAATCAGAAAAAAATCAATAAAAACGTTTTAAATGTTTCTAATATTTAGGTTAATGTACAACTTGTAA